CAGTGAGGAGAGCACCCTAGCTCAGCTTAAGGTACATTGACTCCAGCTAAGTTATTTATGTAGCTGGCATTATGTACCAAGCTGACCTTCTCCCGTAGTGTAGACCTGCTCATAGTTAGAGCCCCTTACACTGAGTTAGATGCCCCTGAAATTGCTTGGATTGTTTTTGGGTTCTTAGGCTGTGACCATCACTGTGGTAGCTGATGTCTAAGGGAGTGTAGCTAGTGTTTATGTGCCAAAGAGGTGTAATTGAAATGTCTCCCCATGCCTTCTGGTATGGAAGGCAGAGCTCTCCCAGACCTCAGCAGAGTGGCTATAATTAGCATTAGAAGTTCCACGTAGAGTGAAAGGAGTCTAATTTACACCCCCCATCAGATCTGGCCCTGAGGGTTTTATTGTCTCGGTTAGTATAAACAGTACTAGTGTACGTTGCCTGGAATGCGATATTCCCAAGTACACTGGGAATGGGTGGCAACCCTTGAGGGAATGGCCTTGTGTCTGGTAACAGGAGACTTGTCAGCAACAGCTGTTTCCTGGCTTGTCTGCACTATCAAGGCTGCTTCTTTTCCCATGCTGTAAACCTCTCTCACCAGCTTAGTTCAAAAGATGTCTTTGAACTTTTAGTGCTCCTGCCTTGTGCAGCTTCAGGCTGAGCAGGAAATGTAGATAAATGACTTCTGGGTCAAATGGGCAAGCCCTTCTGTACACTCGTGCACTCAGTCCTGCTGATGCTAGTTGTTTCTGGCAGGGAAAATCCATTGGCCTCAAGGGCACAGCCACTCCCAAGAATAAAACGTGTAGCCAAGTACAGCTCTTTCTTTCGCTGTGTATTGCAATCCATGGCTTTGTGTGCCATCATGAAATGCCCATATTAAGCCTCCACTGGATTGGAACACTCTAGTACAGGAGGCTATCATCAGTCTTCTGATAATGGGTGCTGTGTTACTGGCCTGATTACTGGGTTACAATTCCCTGTGACCTTTTCTATAAAAAAACAGGTGACGAAAAGCAGCTGTCTGTCAGAACAGTGAAGGAACAAGGAAACTCTGTAGCACAGGCTTGTTGGATTTCAGAGCATGGCTGCATGAGGCACAGATTTACATACACAGTCACACAATTGTACAGCAATAAGTCATGGCTGAGCTGCTCTGTCTTGTCAGAGCTGGGAATAATGCTTATTACGTTCATCAGTGATGTGGCAGAGAATTTCCTCCAATGCCCTGTGGGTTCCCTCTGAATGTAGGGAAGTGAATATGGGATTTCCCTCCCAAAGCGCTAGCTGCCTCATTTCAGTCGTATACAACAAATCTTCAGTGACTAAAACATACATTAAAAAAAAATCCTGCCCCAAGAGGTTTTACATAAAAGCAGATGATATAAGAATCCAAGGTGAGATTGTCTCATGCTTACACTTGGTTCTGTCCCCTGAAGAAAAAACGATCTATCATTTCACCATCCTGAGGTGGTCCATCATGCAAACAACACTATCACAACTGTTGAGATTTTGGTTAAAAGATACACCTAAAAAGGTGCAGGGCAGTGCATCATTTTTCAACCTGCTGTGATTAGAGATGTCTATTTTATATCTTAAGAGTATCCTAATGTCCAGGTAGGATCCCACATTTGAAAACTGGGCCTAGACTCTGTCACTTCAGCATTCTTCTCCCAGAGACGTCATTTTTCTATATCTCATCCCTCTGCCTTGCAGCTTCACCCCTCCCTCTCCCCACTCTTAAGTCTGCCTCCTGCCCCAATTACTTTCTACTAGGGATGTTAAAAACTAATCGACTATCCGATAAGCATTTGCTTATCGGATAGTCTTTTGACTAGTCAACTAGTCAATATCCGCCCCCCCCCCCGCTGTCTCTATGAAATAGAGGCAGCAAAGGGGGGAGGGGAAGGTTCTTTAAAGTGGTAGCGTAGCACAGCTGTGTGAAGTAGAAGAAAAGAAAGTGTGGTTTTCCAGTAGCTGTGGAATACAGTGAGGGGGTAGTCTCTCTCACTAGCAATGAGCTTGAACACCTTATTGGCTATTTTTCTAGGGGATGAGGAAAATAGAAGACAATTTTCATTCAGTGCTCTTACATCAGAGACTGTCCTGTTCTTATGCTGTGCTTAGATTAACTCCTATTCTGCCCTTTCATAGTTCAGCTAATTAAATCCTTCAAATGTGACTCTAGTTTTTTCAGCTGTGCTTGGCTTTCAGCCAGGAATCACCATCTGTATGATTTCACTCTGAGCTGAGCTTGTTTTGTTCTTTTCCACCCCTACCCCTGTATAGTACATGTTTGTGGCTCTCATTGCTGATTAGAAGGCTCCCCTTCTCTTAACTGGAAGGATGGGAAACTTCCACTTGCAGGGGCCCATTTGAACCTTCTTTGATTTTAGTTCACAAGACTTTGCTCAGCCTTAGTTTTTCTTTGAATGTGTCCAGTCCAAGAAACTCAGAGTAAAACTCAGCTAAAATGTGAAAACCACCACATGTTTCCTGATTTGAGATAATCCAAAGTATAACCATCAAGTGCCCTGTGGTTTTCACCTGAAATCATCCCTTGACCCAGGTCCCTTTGAAAGTCAACAGAAGTGTGTGCCTCTGGCCTGAGTTTGTACGGTTCTACACTCAACACACACACAGATTTTTAAACACACTGAGACTATCTAAATCAGTGTTTCCCAAATGGTGTTCTGGGGAACCCCAGGGTTCTGCGAAGTGAAAATAGGGGTTCCTCAAGAAAATTCCATTACAATAATATTTTATGATTAAAAAAATTAATATTTAAGTATTTATGAATTTTACTGAAACCAATTTTCATTTGTGTTGATCTCAGGACCTTGTTTAGCATTTGTTTATTATTATCCTTACTTATTTGCGGTCTACTTTTTCAGCTCCATGTATAAGACTGTTATTAGGGGTTCTGCAAAATTATTTCGAGTTTATAAGGGGTTCCGTTGCCAAATAAAATTAGGAAACACTGATCTAAATGTTTAAGATCCCCATAAAATCAAATGGACTTAAATACATTAGTCGAAACCCTCTTGACATAAAGATCAATTGACTTAGAGCAGCTGAAGAACTGGTACTTTGGTCTATTTTGACTCTTGCTTGGACTTTTTGTTTGCAATAGGTCTGTCATATGGAAGCTGCAAGCTGGAAGCAGCAGGTGGGGAAGTAGATCCAGGGTGTTTGTTGAATGAGCGGGTGGATTCTGTAGCTTGTAGTGGGCTACGTCTACACAACAGGCTTTTTGCGCAAAAACTTGTGGAGCGTCTACCATTGCATGCACGTTCTTGTGCAAGTAAATTTACAGTAAAGTGTTGGAAAAGAGGGCTTCTTGCGCAAGAGTTATTCCTCTCCCTACGAGGAATAAGCCCTCTTGCGCAAGAGCTCCTGTGCAAGAAGGCAATGTGGACGGGCAACAAATGTTTCTTGTGCAAGGAACCCCATGGCTAAAATGGCCATCAGAGCTTTTTTGCACAAGAGAGTGTCCACATTGCCATGATTGCTCTTGCGCAAAATCACATCTCTTGCGCAAAAGACAATGGCAGCGTGGACGTGCTCTTGGGCAAGTACTTTTGCGCAAGAACTCTTGCACAAAACAGAGAGTGGATTCCCAATACATTCTCCAAGTCAGGCCTCTTCAAGTTATCTTAAGCTGGGCTTGTAACATTTCTATGCGTGTTTGAAAATCCTGGCCTCAGTGACAAATGATGATCAATTTACATTGATTCAATATTGAGATGGGCCTAAGTGGCAACATTAAGACTTTGGACTAAACTTTCCTGAAGTGCCCTGTTTAATCCAGTGGCGAGATGCCTGTGACTTCTGCTGATACACTGAAAGATGCTAATAGCATGATCATTAATGGTTCATTTACTAAAACAACTATAGATAACTTAAGCTTCTATTCAGTATCCCTGTTCATTAAAAAGAAAGAGGAGGACAATATAGGGATGGAATAAGATTGGTGAGATCTGAAAAGCAGCATAAAATTAGGGTTTTCTCTTTTCAGTTCTCCCCGTTTTCTTATATTTGTCTTTCTACTCTAGTCATTCTTATGCTCCTCCTTCCCTGGGTCTGGTTCCTTCATCTTTAAAAGTAGTCAGTAGTTTTCTATTGTTGTAACTTCAATGTGTGCTGTGGCCATTAACCCGCTGGCTCCTGGGCTGTCCTAAATCAGCTACTTTGGTACTATTCCTTCCTGTTAGTGACTGCCAGAAGGTGCAGCTTTGAACTGCCAGTTCAGAGAACTTGGGAGAGAATTAAGGGTATGTCTACACTACCCCGCTAGTTCGAAGTAGCAGGGGTAACGTAGTCATCCACAGTTGCAAATGAAGCCCGGGATTTGAATGGGACTAGGGTTGCCAGGTGGTTGGTTTTGAACCAGACAGTCCAGTATTTGAGCTTTCTGTTTGAGAAACAAATTGAGAAAATATAAATGTCCGGTATATTCTATATAAGATGTCATGTAGATTGTGATGTAATGTCAAGTGTGTCCAGTATTTTTGTTGCCTCTGTGGAACGAGGCGTGTAGCCCTGCGGCACGGGGTCTGACTGACTGTTCCCAGACAAGGGGATTTGCTGGACCAGCGTAAGAGGCTGAAGCCCCTGGAAAGAACACTTGTTGGAAAGGTGTGTTCATAGGTATGTTCAGTAGCTAGTGAGATTGATTGGGGATGCTTCCTGTAGAAGCCGTAGGAGGGTTCAACAGAGGGGTATTAATTTTAGATGTCATGCCAAGGACAGTGATTGAATGGGAGCTCAGGTATTTTCATGGTGGGGTGAAGGGCCTCCGCTATTGGTGAAATCTTGCTTAGAGGACACTGGGGATGAAAAGTACTATATATGTACAAGGATAATTCTGACTCTTTTCTGTAGGCAGATGTATTATTTGAAGCCTTGGTTTAAATCTCCCTGTAAAACATTATGATAGCTCACTGTGATTATCCCTTTCATATTTTTTTCTGATTTCTGTCCCTTCCTGTTTCCTTTTCTCTCACAGGAGCTAGTCATCATGGGAGCACCAGGATCTTTTTACTGGACAGGAACTGTGAAAGTGTTGAACCTCACCGACAACACCTATTTCAAATTGAATGATGATGCTGTGGTGGCCAGGCGGTACACATATTTAGGCAAGTAGCTCTTTCGATCCTGATATCAGGATGGAAAGAGGTTTAAATAACGATGCAATTGTTTTTCATTGGAAAGAATGTCTTGTTGATGGATAGTAAAAGGATAAAAGTATAAGTGGCTGGTTTAAAATGAATGAGTGGTCCAGTAGCACCTTAGAGACTGCAGCCGAGGTAGGGCTCCCTGGCTGCAGCAGGGGACAGATCTCTTCACTGCAGCATCTCCCTCCACAGTGCTCCTCCCCCACCCCTCCACCGTGCTACTGCCTCATGGCTAGACCTCCCTATACCTGGACTCTTTGGTCTGGTGGGACCAGAGAGTCCCAGTTAAGGGAGGTGGCTGGTGGGTTACTTGATAAAATATATAGAAAACAAGCAGTGAAGGACTTTCATTTGTTCATTTCTCACTCCCCCAACATTATATTTGCTGGATTATAGAGAACAGATTTGTAATGAGAGGCCGTATTGTCTAGTAGACTAAGTAACAGACTGGAAGCTAGGAATGCCAGAGTTCTAGTTGTGGCCATATCATGACTTGCTGTGTAGTTTGGCCTAAGTGGCTTCTATGTATCTGTATAATGATTAGTTCATTTCAAGCAATGAACCAATTTATTAATGATTGCTAGGGAGTGGAGTGGAGGGCTAGGTAGTGGAGCAGATATGGTAGGAGTTCCATACACTAGGGCCGTGTCTAAACTATACCCCTCTGTCGGCAAAGGGATGTAAATTAGACACATCGGCAGTGCAAATGAAACAGGGATTTAAATATCCCGTGCTTCATTTGCATAATCACGTTCGGGTGCTGTTTCGAACAAGCGCCATTTCGAAACTGAAACCGTGGCTTAGCTGCGGTTCTGTCGACAGCAGGGTGATTTTTCAACAGATCCTGTACTCCTCAAAAAACGAGGAAAAGACTTGGAAAGCGTCACAGGCAACTGTTTGATTAATACTGTTTGACTAAAAATTCAGGCTGATTTAGCAGGTGCCACTCAATGATAGTTAAGTGAGCAATGGGTATATATATTTAAAATTATATGTAGATTTTTTTGACTGATTAGACCTGAATTGCAGTGTTGATCATAGGAACAGGCGACCCATAATTCACAACGGAGGAGTGAGCTAAATACAAGACATCCTTAAAAGGGAAAGAAACCCAGTTCTCTCCTTAAATTCCTTTACACTTATTATATATCATTTTTATTCTATGAACAAGACCAAATATTTGATCCACGTGTTTCAAATGCACTTTCTTTCTTTGATCTACACTTCTGTTTTAAATTTTTCAAGCATTAATTCTTATGGCCTCTTCATCTATTGTTTTGTTTTTTCCTATGAACTGAAAAGACATTTGATTTTTGCATGCCATGATGGGCAGTTCCTTTAATTGAGAGCGCACTATTCTTTTATAAATAAGTCATTCACAGGCACGTAAGCTATTTTTTCCTGATGATGAGGTGACTTGATTCTCTGTGTGCAGATTTTTTGTTTTTATTGCTTCTCAATCCTTTTCCATCTTGATTCTTAACTTACTGTCTTTCCTACTTATGCCTGTCCCCCGCCTGGCTCTCACCTACACCTTCATCTTTTTGGCTTTTGAAAAAACAGTTGAGAGCTTATTGTAATTTTCTGCTGTGATGGACATGTGAACTGCATGTTGGCAAGTTCCTGTACAATGTGAGTGCCTGCTGCTTTTTGCATGACGCTGGGTATTTACACTCCAAGAGGAACTTTGTAACCTGATTAGTGTGATCCAGATGGCTGACCCGTGTCTCACTTTTTTCCTTTTTTTTTTCTCTCTTCCTCCATCACCCCACCCAACCTCCTGCACAGGATATGCAGTGACAGCAGGTCATTTCTCCCAGCCGACTACCACAGACGTTGTAGGAGGAGCTCCCCAGGATGGAGGCATCGGAAAGGTGTGGATTTTACTTAAACAATGATGCGGTCAAATGTGAATGGGTGAAATATATTGACTGGCTTCCTCTACATTTAATGAACAAAGAGATTTTTTTCCTGACGATTAATTTTTGAGCACTTTCTGGGAAAAGGTGAGGTAATTTGATGAGGTCCTCAAATTTAACCTCCCCACCCCATGTGGAGTTCCTTTCTTATCCTCAAAAATCTTTAACATCTTGCTTTTAAAGAGACATTGTTAATTAAAAATGCCTCTTGTCTCTGAAGTTTTTAAGATATTTTAGTTAACATAGACCTAGTTTGTGCTGGTGGGCTGGTTGGCATGGACTTATCAGAAAGGAAGACTGATGCATTCTGAAAAGTGTGTATGAACAAGTGCTACTGCCTGGCTGGTGAGCACACAGGTGCCAGAAGGGTTGATGGCTGGATAAAATGGACATAAGATGAATACTCAGCCAGAGCACTTGGCCAGAGACTGAGCCAAGTGGGGCTCAATTTGCAAGGAAGCCCAGGTGCTTTTGGGATTTGCCATGATGACAACCTCCCTATAATAGGAATTATAATTACCCTATTTTTCTAATGGGGTAACTAAGGCTGAGGGATTAAGTGACTTATCCAAAATTACAGAGCAACTCAGCAGCAAAGTTGGAGTTTAATAGTCAGAACCCTTGGCTCCTCATCTCTTCTGGCTATTTTGAAGTCTGAGGTAATCTCTGTCTTCATGTCATTGTAGCAAAATGCAGGACAATGTAGCACTTTAAAGACTAACAAGATGGTTTATTAGATGATGAGCTTTCGTGGGCCAGACCCACTTCCTCAGATCAAATAGTGGAAGAAAGTAGTCACAACCATATATACCAAAGGATACAATTAAAAAAAAGAACAAATATGAAAAGGACAAATCACATGGCAGAACAGAAGGAGGATGCGGGGGGGTGGGAAGGGGGAGGAAGGAAGGTAAGTGTCTGTGAATTGATGATATTAGAGGTAGGGAGAGTGGGATGTTTGTGAGTTAATGGTATTACAGGTGATAATTGGGGAAACTGTCTTGATAATGGGTGAGAAAGTTCAAAGACTTGTTAAGTCCCTGGTGGTAAGTGTCGAATTTTAACATGAATGACAGTTCAGAGGATTCCCTTTCAAGTGCAGATGTAAAAGGTCTTTGTAGCAGAATGCAGGTGGCTAAGTCATTTAGAGAGTGTCCTTTCTGGTTAAAGTGGCAAGAAACTGTTTTCTCTTTGTGATCTTGTCTGATATCTGTTTTGTGGGCATTAATCCTTTGGCGAAGTGTCTGAGATGTTTGTCCAATGTACATAGCAGACGGACACTTTCGGCACATGATAGCATAGATTATATTTCTGGATGCGCAGGAATATGTGTTCTTGATCTTATAACTCACTTGGTTAGGTCCAATAATGGTATCAGCAGAATGAATATGTGGACAAAGCTGGCAACGGGGTTTGTTGCAAGGGAAGGTACCAGGGTTGGTATTAGTGTGGTATGTCCTGTGGTGGTTGGTAAGAATCATCTTGAGGTTAGGTGGTTGTCTATAGGAGACTATGGGTCTGTCTCCCAGAGCCTCTTTGAGTATGGTATCCTGTTCCAATATAGGCTGTAGTTTATTGATAATGTGTTGGACAGGTTTAAGTTGGGGGTTGTAGGTGATGACAAGTGGTGTTCTATTGTTGGTTTTCTTGGGTCTGTCTTGAAGTAGATGGTTTCTAGGTATTCGTCTGGCTCTTTCAATTTGCTTTTTTATTTCTCCGGGTGGGTAGTTGAGGTTTATAAATGCTTGGTAGAGATCCTGAAGCTTCTGGTCTCTGTCAGTGGGGTTAGAGCAGATGCGGTTGTATCGAAGGGCTTGGCTATAGACGATGGATCGTGTGGTGTGTTCTGGATGGGAGCTGGATGCATGTAGGTAACTGTATGAGTCAGTGGGTTTTCTGTAGAGAGTGGTGTCTAATTTTCCATTGTTGATTTGTACGGTGGTGTCCAGGAAGTGGATCTCTCGTGTAGAATGGTCCAGGCTGAGGTTGATGGTGGGGTGTAGGTTGTTGAAATCTCTGTGGAATATCTCCAGTGTTTCTTGGCCATGTGTCCAGATCATTGTATCTAGATTAATCTCTTTCCTGCCCATGCTCCACCTACCCATGTGCCGAAGGGCAATGCTTACGATAGGTACAGTATTTATTGTATATTTCTCTGAAGCAAGTCAACTTGGAACTCCATGTGCATCCAAAAATTAAGTGCCCATTAATATCTCGCGATACAATTTAATACTCCAAATCGTTGATTCCGAGGATCAGCCTTACAGCCGTGCCCTATTGACTCCATGAATGCCTGCTGCGCAGAAATGGATGAACTGACTTCAGATTCTGATGTTGCTGCCTTGCTGAGCTAACAAGACACTCAGGACTTCTGTGGAGACTTCTTCCTTATTGCAAGTGTAATGCACACTCATTCTGAGTGTGGTCTGCTGTCCCATCTAGGGCACCAAGACCACTTACAGAGAGAATAATGAGTCGGCTCTACAGCCTTAGCTAATAGTCAGCTAGTTGGTTTTTAGCTCATGCGGAAGAGGATCATGCACTAAGCTCCAAAGGTCCCCAGTTTGATCAGCATTACACAAGCAAATGAGAACATTTTTAAATGTTATGTTCTTTACTCTTTCTGATCCTAAATGCAAAATGTTAATGAGCTGCAGTACTGTTCTGAGATTTTAGAAAGACAGTGCTAATGTCTTGCAGTATTCCAGGAGTGTCCTTGCCTCTCTAATGGGCAGATCTAATAGGCTAATACAGATTCTCCTTTTTGATCTTGCATTGCTGTATTTATCTATATTGCAACCTAATCAATTAGCCCAAAACCCTGACAAACGGCTTATAGTTGAATGTCACCTAATCATTATGTTATAACTAACTCTCCATGTCTAGCCTTGTTCATTTTGTCCACGAGGAAGATATAAGTTGTATCATGATACAAATCTCCCTGTACTTACTTCAAGGAAGATGTTTCATTTCATTCAACCTTGCTCAGTTCCTGCTGGTTTAATGACCCAGCTATCTACCTGCAAGGTTGCTCACTATGACTTGTTTGCCATTGTATACGAATCTGTCATAACATCCTGTAAAGCAGAGCGAATGAAATGGGAGCCATTTTTAAACAAGATTCTCATGCAAAATAATACTTTCTGAATGAGTAACTGCATAAACAATATGAAGGTTAAGCTACATGAAAAACAGCGCAGAAAGAAAAACCAATGTCAAAAGATATCAACATGGGGACTGACTCATCTCATAAGCGCATGCAGTCTAGAACATGCAATCCAGGACACATTAAAAAGAGTATTCTAAGAGTAACCTGTGTTACAAATTAGAGTGCTTCTGATATACACTGTAATTTTATAACATCTGAAAAAAAAAATTGACCAGTAAGGTGCTAACGCGTTCACTGGTGTGATTTCAGTCTTTACCTTGACCCTTGCTAAAACATCTTGACATTTGTCTTGCTACCTAGACTGCACACTTTTTTGAGGGAGGGGATTGACACAGAAGGTGGGGGTAAGAAGATCCCTATAACTAGTCAGATTCTCAGCCCTGGTTGCTCTGAGGCACATTGCTATTGTTTTCCAAGAGACATTTGCTTAGATTATGGTTGTTGTGCATTGGCCCTTTTTAAATACACCCAAAGCAGCATTAAGATACTGTTTAAATACATGTAATGACAAGGGACCTCTTACCATTGGTACTAAAATAGAATTTCATTTTTGCTTTAGAAAAGGCAGGAGCATCACCCTGAATTTGGAGTTTGGCATATAATTAATGATCACTTTATTACAATGAGTAAAAGTATTTATGTGTCCAGAATGCACTGATGAATTCATAATATTATAAACTGCTTATCTATAGGGCCATCCTTTGGTCAGTGTTTGAAACTGCTTTTGTTTTTGTTTCCATTTGATAGGTTTATATTTTCAGAACAGACAGGCGATCAGGCTCCTTAATAAAGATTTTTCAGGCATCCGGTAAAAAGGTGAGAGAATCTTGACAAAAAATACTGTGGCTATTTCATTTGTCCAATTATTTTTAATTATTAATATTTAATTTAGGTGTAAAAATCTACCAAAGTCCTAAAGCTATCATTTACACCAACCACATTATTTTCTATCATAGCATCCCTACAGAGCTGGAATTGTGAGGTGAAAGGTTTGGTATTATTTTCAATTAAAAGTCCTGTTAGAGCTGATAAAAACTTACTTTATGTGCAGGGCAAATTACTCCTCCCTCAGCAATCCTCAGTGTGAATCTGCAGTGTACCAGCTTGCGGCATGCTGGGGCTTTCCCTGGCATGGTTCATGTGAGTGGTTGCTGTAGTAGCAAGCTGGTGTACTGTAGACTGGCACTCTAGCTTGCCGTGCAGTAACTTGCTGTGTAGACCAGCCCTTGGAGGGTTCCTGCCTCCATAATAACAGAGATTTTCTGTGCTGAAGTGCAAGATTTTGGGCGTTCTACAAAACTGTGGAGGACAAACAAGGAAAAAGGCAAAACCTGTATAGCAACTGATTCTTATATGGCCAGACTTTCTCTTCCTATCCCTCCGAAGAGGAGGGCACATCAGGGTTATAGTAGTGGGCTGTAGACCACCTCCATTCTGTTGAGGAAGGATTGTTTTCCTTTTCCCTCCCTGCGTCTACTCTGGGTGGTAGTCTGAGGATTTGTTCTTTAGAGTTAACCTTGGTCCTTTGTTTTAACATTCTGGCAGAACTAGTCAAACCCCACTTCCCTGTGTGAGGCCATACTGGGGCAGGGAGAAGTGCACCTTCTCCTCGACCAGGAGCCGTGGCGGTGATTGGCAAACAAATGCACAGCAGATCCAGCTTTAGGTAATAACAGGAGTGTGCTTTACTTAGGGATAAAACCCTGAGGAAGAGCCTCTCGGCCTAGTTTATGGCTGCCTAGAAGGAACCGCTTTTTTTCTCATAGTCAGAGGGCAGGCACAGAATGGACTCAGGCTCTAAAAGAGACCCAGACCCTGCTTAATATATAATACTAATTGAATTTGGCTACACTAGTTGAGTTTATCAGCCTGTCTTTGGGACACTTTGTTAACGTCTCAATGAATCATAAACACATTCTATAGAAAGTTCTTAAACACCAGGGACAGGAGAAAATCCCCAGGGTGAATAGGTGGTGATAGTGTCTCTTAGGCCTCCACTATTTTGCTTTCCACTGACAGGTTTTTTCCATCTCAAATTTCTGTGCTGCTCTTTCTGAGTGCAACACACACAGAACTGTCAGGGAGTTTTCTGGCTACTCAGCCAAAACTTTTGTTTTCTTAATTCAGTCTCATTAACGTTCCCTGTAAGCTGTGCGGTTAGGTGGCTGCCTAGAAGAGAATCAAATGTTGCTCAGCTGACCAGAGCAGAGCACCCACAGCTGACCAACACAGCCAGCAGCATGGTTTTCTATTAATGGTGCACATCTGCACATGCATTGGTGCACATAACAGTTTGTTCTGTACACGGATGAAAGAAATTAGTGGAATATTGTTCACTGTACCCAATTATAAATACTGTTAATAACTGCACCTCTTTACAAATCATTGAAGAATATAAACACTAAAGTGTCATGTGCTGCATTTTTCATTTCTTGTAAAATCTGTAATTTTTGAAAAAAAATAACAAATGCATTCAAGGTGAAATGCAATTTGATGTGCACTGCTCTGTTAATGAGTATTGCTGGAAACTAAATCCAACCAAACACTGTTTTAGCACCAAAGGTATGAATTCACACCTCTTATATCCCAAGCATGCTTAACATAATGTTCAGGCCATTTTCCCCTCTTCTTTTGTTAAGGGTAAAAGGTTTCGAAATCAGCTATGGAAAAGAGTTAATGCAAACACGTGGTTACAAATAAAAACACAGGCAGAAATGTAAGGTTCTCACAGTAACATGAACTCACCCACATTGCACAGTTGGGTAAATAACAGCCTGAATACATATTGGCATGTTTTTCATAACTCAGAGTCTCTGCCCATGAGAATTTAGTTTTAAAACATTACTGGATTAAAAAAAATAAACAACAAAAATCCCAGGGGGAATTCAACTACAAAATAACTAGTGAGTCAGATAATGGTAAAGATCTGTCCTTGAACTCACATAGACACACAACTCTGAGTTACACACTGTAATGCTATCCTTCGCTCACCCCACTGTCCTTATGGCTTCCAAACAGATCATGCAATCTTACATTCTCATCTTCAAGACTAGAGTGGTTGCTGCCTGTTTCCTGTCATTTCTACCGGTATATCTACCCAGCAGCTGGGAGCGGGCTTCCCGGCACAGACAGACAGGCAGGGGCTAGTCCAGCTTGAACTAATGTGCTAAAAATAGCACTAAGGCTGCTCCCGTTTGAATGGGTTTTATAGTTGGGCATCTAGCTTGAGTCGCCACCATAGCCATGCTGCTGTTTTTAGCGTGCCATCTGGAGCAGTGTTAGTACAGGACTGGGTATCTGTGCTGGGCAGCATGCTCACAGTAGCTGTATTGGATATACCCCCAGACTGTCTAGAGCTCTGCTTCATACACCTTAATGTGTCAAGGCACAAATGTAGGACTCAGAGTGTGATGAAACCCCCAAATGAACCCTTAAAAACATGCAGTATGGCATATACTGTGAGAGGCGTACTTAAAAAACAAGTAAATAACTTTGTAACCTCAATTTCGTGCTTCTCCATTTCTGATGTAAACAACTGGCAACGTTAAAAGTGCAGGGTGAGCAGATTAATGTGGAAAGCAGATGGCTTTTGGGTTAAAATTTGTGATATCTGTTGAAATGAGACATTTGGAGGTACGCACTAGTACAGGGGTGGGCAATAATTTTTGGCCAGGAGCCACTTCAGAAATTTTTGAAGTGGCCCCAGGCCAGCCCGGAAGTGGTGGGACCTCAGGTGGAAGGGCTGGGGCCAGAACATTTACATGCTTCCCTGCCCACAGACCTTGATTGGTCTGTGGATGGAGGGGGGGCGGTGCATGAAGTCTTTGCCCCCCGCTCTCCCTGAGAGAACCACCAGCTGTTCTGAACATCTGTCTGTTCCCTGTAGGTGCCCGCACCCCTGGCATTGGGAGAATTGCATGCTCCCTCCCCTAACCCCAGGTCAATCAGGGTCTGGGGGCAGTGGAAGCACGTGAAGTCTGCCCCCACCCTGCAAGGGAGCGCTGTGCTTACAGTCACCTGAGCAGCAGCTGGTGGTTGACTCTCAGTCCCGAGCCCCTTGCAGGGTGAGAGGAGACTTTGTGCACTTCCTTCCTCCCACAGGCCCTGATTGGCCTGGGGCCGGGGGAAAGCGCAAAGTCTCTCACTCTCTGCTCTCTGATGCGCAGTGTTTTGGAGTCAACCCTGGCAGTTAACTCCAGTGTTCACTCTAAGATTTTCCACCCAGGAGTGGAGTGAGTTTTGTCTTGTGCACCAGTATTGAGTTTTTGCGCTTTTGTTCAGATGTGTGTCACTGTGGCACCCAAGTTATTAATAAATATCTTATAAACCTCTCCCTTTCTCCCTCTGTTGCCATGTCTCCCACCCTCCCCTTTCCCCATCTGCTCATCTGGTACCTGCTGCCCCCCCCCCACCCCCACCCCCTCCCTCTGTTGCCATGTCTCCCACCCTCCCCTTTCCCCATCTGCTCATCTGGTACCTGCTGCCCCCCCCCACCCCTCACCCTCCTATGCTGTCCTGGCTCCTGCCCTTCTCACTCCCTTTGGAGACCTGCCCCCCTCTCCATGCTCTTTGACCCCTGCACCAACCCTTCTCTTCCCCCTGTGCCCACCCCTCTTCTAGCCCCACACTGATCATCTGTAGCTACCCCTTCCCATTCCTTCTAACACATTCCTCTATCCACCTGCCCTGCCTCTCTCCTCTGTCTTCTGGTGCCTGTCCTTTCCCTCCATGTGTCTGCCCTTCTGCTTCCCCCCCACTCCCGACAATACCCTGGCACCTGCACCTTTCCTTACCCCTGCTCCTTCCTGGTGCCTCCCCCTTCCCTCACTGTCCCTGCCCTCCTTTCCTTCTTACTCCCTGGTGCCCACCCCCTCACCACCCTCTGTCCCAGTTCTTATGCCCTTCTGAGCTCTGACACATGACTTGCTCCATTGCCTGCCTTCATCATGCTCACCCTCCTTTCATTTCCTTTTCTCCTGGCACCCACTTCTCCCCTCTCCTCTTCCTTCTTCTTGCCTCCATAGTCCCTCCCCTCTCCCAAAATCACCCTGTCCCTTCCTTTCTCCTACCTCCCACTGACAGCTTCCCTCATATCCTTCCTCCCACCCTTTCTCCTTGTTGTCTCCTCTTGGCCCCCTTGCATTTGTTTCTCATCCACCTTTGGTGCCTTCTCCTTTCTTCTCCTGCCCTGGCTCCCTCCTCTGCTCTAAGCACAAGCCCCTTCCTCTCCTTACCCACCTTCCTCTTAGATCTCCCCTTGCCCCTTCCCTAACTTTTTACATTCAATATGGAAAGCAGTTTGTGGGGGCTGGAGCTGGGGCCCCGGTGCTGTTTTTAGTACCATGGCCCCGGGCCCCAGAAGCTCCCATAGCCCTGGCCCCAGCTGCTCCTGGGGCAGGACTGCATGCCAGGATTGGAGCAGATGCTGCCTGTGGTGCTATTTTTAGTACCGCGGTCCCTGCGGGATCTGGGTACTAAAAATAGCACCATGGGCGGCCCCGACTCCAGCTGGAGTAAAGCAGCAGCCTCACAAGGCCCATTCCAGCTAGGGCAGCCTCATCAGAACAGCATCACCTCACATGCCCCGGCTCCAGGTGGAGCAAAAGCACAGCCGCCCACCGCCAGGAACCCACCAGGCCACCAGCTGCTGCTGCCACCGCTCAGCTTCCATCCCAGCAGGGATGGAAGGAGTGTTGCTGCACAGCTCTTAAAATGACATAGGTGGACCTAAAATTTTTAGTGTGCAGCTGCGCAGGAACACTGGTTGACTCTAAGCACCGCGTGCTCCCCCATCACAAGGATCCGGGGTCGGGGGAGCAGCAGGACTTCCTCAGGCTGGATCAACCCACATGGCGGGCTAGATCTGGCGTGTAGAGGCTCCTTTGCCCACTCCAGTGCACTAGTAGATGAGCTATAACTATGCCCTCTGAGCATGCACTGGCTTATCTTGGCCAGTTGGATGAACTAAGGACAGTGTCTGTTTTTCACTTTCAATTTCCTTACTTCTTATTTAAGTCAAATTTTAGATGTGGTTTAATAGGGTGTTAGTATTTAATGTCACACAATAATAGTTATTTGGAATAGATCTGGTAATACACCTAGGTCTTTCATTCTATCTTTTCTAAATCTCCCAGCCTGATAGTGTTCATTGTAGACAGAAAGCGAGTACATTTTTAGGGCTTGATTCTGCAAGTTTGTTGCATGAAACTTGCTGAAACCAATGGCAATTCTGTAATCAGGATCACAGCCTGACCTTAGGCTGGCTGGCTGGCTAGCAGATGGAGGTCTGTATGGATATGTCAACACAACACACTAACTACAGGCTCACACTCAGGGTCAAGCCCCTCTTATACCCACAAGGAAATTAATCTGAGTTGGGCTAGGGACCCTGCTTGACTGTGACTCATGCCTTTAGCAGGGACCACTGACCTAAGAGGCCTGGTGTGATGCAGGACAGAGTCCAGACATTTGCAGTGGGGCACGAGATTCTGGTTTGGAGAGTCTATTCTACAATCTTCTGGGGCTGTGTTTCCCAATCTTTCAGTTTCAAAACTTGTCAAATACAGTGTCTTGGGGTATGTCTAGACTACATGCCTCTGCCGACAGAGGCATGTAGATTAGGCTACCTGACATAGTCATTTAAATAAACATGGCTGCCGCGCTGTGCCAACGATCAGCTGATCCAGCACAGCGCAGCAGTCTAGACGTGGATCTGTTGGCTGAGGAAGCCTTTGCCGACTGATCCCTTATGCCTCCTGAAACGAGGTTTACAGGATCGGTCGGCAAAGGCTTCCCCAGCCGACAGATCCACGTCTATACTGCCGCGCTGTGCTGGATCAGCTGATTGTCGGCACAGCATGGCGGCCATGTTTATTTTAATGAAGCGAGTGAGTCCAGAGTGGCATGATTTTAGCAAGTGCTGAGTTCTGTGACATTGGGCTTCCCACACGTGGGAAGTCTAACAAGTGAGAAGTCATTAGCCACTTGTGAAAATCTTGACCCAGGCTGTCAATTCTCTTCTACATTTTAAGACATTTGCCAAGCAAATGCTATTCTAAAGTAAGGCCGCTTAGTGCCTCTTTTAAGTATGTCTTGGGATCTGAGTTTTATCCCCTTTACAAAACATCCGAGCTGTAACAGTAAAGTGCCTAATGCTTGCCAAAAAATTCTCTAAGATTTCTCCTTAGGACTGGATGCTAGTGTGAGACAAAGCAGCAACTCATCACTTGATATTTAAAAAAAATAAATGATTTCCTCCTGTGTGTGGGCAGATACTGAATGCTTTGTTGTGACTCGGCTTGGTTACAGATGGGCTCTTACTTTGGCTCCTCCTTATGTGCAGTTGATCTGAACTCGGATGGACTTTCAGACCTGCTGGTTGGAGCACCCATGTTTTCTGAGATCAGGGATGAGGGTCAAGTCACAGTCTATATCAACAGAGGAAATGTGAGTATGTGAAGTGGATGAGCATGTGGAAAGAGGGTCAGTTCAACTGTGGTTTAAAATGGAATTTGGTGCATATGTGGGTGTTTCCAACAAAACATGAATTCAGGCAAAATTCATCTGGTATCATGGTTTCTTACAAACTTTGGAGTCAGCTTCTGGTCATGAAAATGTCGTGACTCTTGAGAAAACTTGGGAGAAATTCTAGTTTTATGTTGAAACTTGGTGGTATTGGTGGATTTGCATGAGGTTGATGTCAAATTCAAGTAGAAACCAGCAGATTTGACCAGAGTTACGCTTTGTATTTTGGATACTCATTCAAACCCACAACTCAGAACAAAACAGAGACTTGAGAACCCCTGTGAAGAGACACCAATGAATAAATGTGTATTATTGTCTGATACTATTTATTGAAAGCCTATGGCAGAAAGCCCCTTCAACTGAACTGCTGAATTTCACATTGTACAACTGTAGTCTTCGTTTAATCTGAGTTTGGACTTCCCAGATTAGCAAAGACAATTACTAGTACAGAGTGTGTAAAAGATAATGAGGCATATGTATTTTTTCAGGGAAAAATGTGTTTGTGAAAGTGCCTTTTTAAAATTTACTCTTAAGAACTGAGCTAATTTTTTTTTACACAGGGAACTCAATGCTTCTCCTGTAAGTCAGTGGGAGATGTTTCATTGGCTTCAGCAGAAGCGCTGTTGGGATCACATGAACTTTCTTTTTATAACTTTAATAATACATTTTTGCTGCAAATAAAATGTGCTTACAAGTGCTGTGGACTGTGTGAAATAAACCAGACTTGTATTTGGTTTAGTTTAGTTGCCAATTAACAATTCTTGAAATGAACCCTCTTTTTTTTCTCTACTTGGCTCTTCTGCTTATTCAGTGTTTGATTGCAGTGGTGCCTAGAGCTCAACCACATTGGGATCTCATTGTGCTAGCTGCTGTCATGCCTAGTGTATATGACCAACCCTGCCCCAAAGAGCTCATGGTGAAAAAGTGATTGGAGCTATAAATGATGTACAGGTTGAACTTTTCTTGTCTGGCATTCTCTGGTCTAGCTTCATATGTGGTCTAGCATGCTTATAGTTATCTGGATGTCCACTTATCATGGGTGTGGCTAAGTTTCCCGCAGTCATGTAAAGTTTATTTATAGCCACCAGCCCTGGCTCTCAGTGTTCTGTGCTGTTTTTTAGCTCTAATTTACCCTTAAATGTCTTCTAAGGGCTCAGGAAGCAGCGGAAGTGTTGGTAATGCTGCTAGACAATATTGACCTCCCCATGTTTCTGCAAATTCTCTGGTTGGGCACCTGTCAGGTCCTGAGGGTGCTGGATCAGAGAGGTTCAATCTGTATTAGAAAAATTAGCTCGAGGTGCTAGAAGCAGTTGCTCCTTCCTTCAACCTTGGCTTCACTAGGGCTGCCCATGTGAAGTAAATTTACATGACTAACTGTTTGTAGGATTGGGTATTTTTTGTGTGCTATGGATACTAGAACAACTCCATTTCAATTATCTCTCCCACATCACTCAGGCAGCACTTACCTAACCCTGATGGCATGAGGAGTATTACTGTATACATGCATATACAGCAGTATGGTAGATTTGATAAACTTCTATCTAATCACTGGCAGTATGTACGGTAAAGAAACAAGTAGCATATACAAAACTGTACTCTTTTCCCTCCCCTTTATGACCCAACTTCACCATGTAGGATTTTCTTAATGTCAGCAGCTCCCTGCAGCCAAGAAAAAGACTACTTTCTGCCCTCATTCACAAATGGGGGGAGGAGGGGAGGGAGGGAGATCTGAACACTTGAGATGGGCTCTTGAAGTTGGCTTCAGTGATTAAGTTTTGTTTTCTTGTGGAAATGTTCCTTTCCTCTTGTGGGTATATTGGAAGAAATTAAAGCTCCTTCAGAGGAGTTTGGCTAGAAAGTGGGTGAGTGTGAATTGCCAAACCTATGAGACATCTGTTGGCATGTGAATGCAAACGTCAGTTTGTTCTGGGCTTTCTCTGTCTCTCTATTTCATTGACTCTAGCTGTCCTTTATTTGTCAATTTCCTATTCCATTTTTTGCTTTCTGACATGCAGTGTCTCGGGCGATATGCACAGTACTGCTTTGGTATAAGTTATGACAGTCAGGGGTATGAATAACTCTTTGCCCATCCTGAGCAGCGTATGTTACGCCAATCTAAGCTGTGGTGTGAACTGTGGTCAGCTATCTCCCTCCAGCACAGCTCCCTTTGCTTCATGGGGATGGAGTAATGGAATCGACAGGAGAAGTCTCTCCTGCCAGCTTAAAGCGTCTGTGCTAGTAACACTACAGTGATGCGCACTGCTGCAAGCCAGAGCTTAGAAGTGTTCAAATTATGTAGCACAAATCCTGCAGTGTCACCACAGGCACACTGTGCTCTGAATTTAACTCTGCTAAACATTGCTGCTAAACACTTCTGCAAAATTCAGTGGGAGTTTTGGCTGAGGAAGTCCTGATTCATGACTGCAGTCTTTGGATACAACACGCCGACAGGACAAGAACTGAATAGTGGTGTTTAGTGTATGGAAAGTTTCAGAGGGGTAGCTGTGTTAGTTTGTAATAGAAAAAAATTGAAAAACAACAAATAATTCTGCAGCAACTTAGAGGCTAACAAAAAGTGTAGCTGGTATCATAAGCTTTCATGGGCATAACCCACTTCTTCAGATGGAGTTTAAGGCATCCAAGTTCCAAATAAATAACAGAGAATGAGAAGGGATGGTAGGGGAAAGGAAAAGACAAAAAAATGGGAAAAGAATAGTCAATTAGAGTTTCCTTGCTAAATGAAGCTGATAGAGTTCTAAGTACTCTTAAGTACCTGCTGTTTGGCCTTTTATGTCATTAGGATGTGGAATGTAGTGGGTAATCCAGTTAAGGTCTTTGTTTAAGCCTCTATTGTAGGTATCAAACTATTGATGGTACATTAGTTTTATGAATGATATTGGTGCCTTTTCCTGGGTATAAAAAGACAAATTGGAATCCTCATAAAACAGTTAGTATTGTCCTAACCATACTCCCACTGAGTTCAAAGGGAGCAGATTTAGATCAACCCTGGGCATTTTTGAAAATCCCACCCAGAATTCTTAACTTTCTGCTTAATGAAAGTGAGGTGAGGTCATCACTGGGGGATTTTTGGAGCACTGAGAATTAAGTTATAGGTGATACTAGGATGGTTTTAAAAACACACACTCCTTCCTTAGCCACTTCAGTTCTAAGTGCAGAGGCGCTGTTAGCACTTTCACTCACAAGCCACTTAATTGGTGCCTGTTTAACCACAGACATGAAAAACCCCGGGCTCTTCATGCAAACTCTCATATGTGGGGCTTCCTGTAAAACACAGTGTCCTGAATTATGATATGTGGTGAAGGAGTTTGGCCTGCGGCATGTCTTGCCTGGCTAATTCAAACCACTTTGGGGGCTGGTTTGATGGTGCTTAACCCTTTTGTTTTATATACCCAGGTAAGCTGCATCACAGGGCCTTTGATAGCCATGCAAAAGTCACACTGTCGCTCAGCCCCAGGTGTTTCCTGAAGTGTGTGTTTCATCTGGGAGTCCCTGTGGCTTTTTGTGCTCACTCTGTTTTTCTTAGCCTGTCCTATTTCCTGTTTGCTAGGGAGTCCTGGAAGAGCAGCCTGTTCTGAACGGTGACAATGCCTACAATGCACACTTCGGGGAAAGCATGGCCTCCCTAGGAGATATTGATGATGATGGATACTCAGGTCAGTGCATTTCCATTCTGCCATGTTCTGTTTCTAACCAAATATGGGGATTTTTATTTTATTACAGGGACTTTACTTCAAATCCTATTTCACAGTAGAAGTGGAAACATTATCATTCTAATCCTCCTCAGAACATCTTTTAAATACATGGCCTGACTCACCACAGCATTACTCCTTTGGAAATTATCTCCTCTTTAGATTGGAGTAATGCTGTGGTGAACCATGTTCTAGGTGCCACTTTCTGGTAAAGATGTTTTTACTGATTAAACCAAACACGGGTAAAAATATCTCACTTGAACAAAGACATTAACTGGCTGTTGCATTATAAAGCCAGTCTCCCCTGCCTCCAAACTGCATTTTTACATCAAAAGCTAAGAAGGAGACACTTCTAGCCCACTTAAATTGCCTCATTAGCACTGGTCCTACAATTGACAGATATTACTCCCCCCACACCAGTTTTTAAATATCTTGGTTCTGTTATTTCCACTCCAGCTCATCATCCGATAAAGTGGGTTTTATCCATGAAACCTCATGATAGTAATATTTTTGTTAGTCTCTAAGGGTATGTCTAGACTACATGGCTCCGTCGACGCTTCATCATCAATGAAGCGGGAATTTAAACAATCCCTGCTTCATTAAAATAAAAATGGCCACTGCGCTGTGCCGACAGTCAGCTGATCTGGCACAGCGCGGCAGTCTAGACGCAGATCGGTTGACAAAGGAAACCTTTGTCGATTGCTTCCTTATGCCTCGTGAAACGAGGTTTACAGGAGCGGTCGACAAAAGTTTCCCTTGTCGACCGATTCACGTCTATACTGCCGCGCTGTGCTGGATCAGCTGATTGTCAGTACAGCACGGTGGCCATTTTTATTTTAATGAAGTGGGGATTGTTTAAATCCCCGCTTCATTAACTATGTCGGGTAAACTAGTTTACATGGCTCCGTCGATGGAGCCATGAAGTCTAGACATACCCTAAGGGCATGTCTACACTGGGAAATTATTTTGAAATAACTAAATTTGAAATAATAACTCCCGAAATAACTATTTTGAAATAAGCTTATTCTCCAAGGAAAGCAGGAGTTGTTATTTCAAAATAACCAGCCCCTTATTTCGATATAGTGTGCTTGGTACTATGGACACTCTGATAGTTATTTCAAAATAAGGGAAGTTATTTCAGACCTAAAAGTGCTGCAGGACTACTTGTTGTACCCAACATGGGTGTAATTCCTATTGATTTCAATATGAGTAATACCTGGGTAACTTTGGCCAATCTTGGACATTTGGTCTGATTTCTTTGTTTTTTTTAAAAAACTCCATTATATGTGTCTTACTAATTACTCTTAGGTTTTCCCTAAATAAAAACAACACATCATCTTTTGTGCAATATTTGGCATCTTCTGTCTCAGGGCCATTCTCATATCAAAATCAAATATATCCCATTTATTGGTGTAACTGGGGCTTCTTATCAGAAGTTACATTTAACAGGTAGTTCTTACTGCCTCCTATTGTAAATTCTATTTATTGTCACTTGCCTACAATCCAGTCCCCTACAATCCAGTTTCTGTCATGGGCTGTCTTGTACAAGGACGCACACGGTGATAACAATAGGCGAGAATGGAGTGTTGACACCAGCAAGTTGGCTGCAGAGATTTCTGGTAGACTAAGGACTTCAAAAGGGTTTATCATGTGTGTCTGAATATGCGTCCTCCCAGGCACTCAGCAGCCCTTTCATTTCCATATATATTTGAAATTCAACCCACTTGATCTAACTTGACTTTGGAAACGTGGCATTTCAAACACAATTGTGACAGTGCAGAGTGGCTTGTGTTCCCTTTGACACTGGTGCTGATCCACCCTGCCTTGGTCAGATGAAAGGGCTGCCTTTTTGAGCAGGCTGATGGGTGCAAATACATTTGTATAGCTAAGAGACGTGCTTCTTATTGGATGCCAAAATATGTATACATTAAAAAGGAATTTCTTTACACAAGCTGTGCATTAAACTGGGCAACTGTTTGTAGCTAAGCTGACAAGAGTGATCCATGATCCTCCTTCTCATGATGAGTTTCAGCGTGGAACTAGGGGGCTTCTATTAAAGTATCACCTGGGAAGAGTGTACAGGGAAAGGGTTGTGATGTTTTTTCAATTCACATTGTCTTACATATGCAGATGTTGCCATTGGGGCCCCAAAGGAGGATGACTACATAGGAGCGGTGTATATCTACCATGGCGACGCTGGTGGCATTGTTCTGCAGTACTCTATGGTAATTTGTCTGAGTCGCTCTGTCTGATCTTGCCAAATGTAGGGTAAAACATGGAGACACTCCTCATTGCACTGTGTGATTTGCTCTTCTTTCATAGCTGGTGTTTCTCTGTATGTGTAGTCTGCATCAATTCATACACCATATCTGAGTTTAGGTAGGAGCTGAGATTTCAATGTTGTGTTTTGCACATAGTTTATAATGACATTTGTCCCCTTCATCTCTGGCCATCCAAATAATTCCAGAACTGGTAAGTATGAGACACTCTTTTTGAACCATGTTTTAATACAGTTCTCAGATGTAGCTTCCTTTTCCATGGAGATGGAGCCTTGGAATACTATTGGAGCCTTGGTGCTATTTTGGAATATATTCAAAATAACGAGTGTTTTATTCTGGCTTCCTGTAAACCTTGTTGCACGAGGAATAAGGAAGATTCTGGAATAGCACTCTATTTTAAAATTTGGCACTGGGTAGACAATTTGCATAGCTCAAATTGTGTAGCTCAAGTCGTGTAGCTTATTTTGAGCTATGCGTGACTGTGTAGATGTACCCTCGGTATGGGGGTATTTCAGTGACAGCAGTCGTCAAAAAGGACAAACACAGGCAGACTTCTGTAGGGTGGGAGAAGCTTGGCACTGCTTTCTTTGAAGCAGGACCAGGCTGAGTGAGAAGGAAAAGATTCTAGGGACTCTTTCTGCAGAAACACACATGATTACTCTGAGGAAACACACACGACTACTCTGCGGAAACACACATAGCTCCTCCTCCCAGTAGGAGGTGTCAGGAAGGCTGTCTCAAGATTCTGCTTTACCAGACCACAGTGAAGTAAAAACTGCCTACCTATACCACACAGGCCCTGAAACATTGAATATAATTCCGGAGTAATTTAGTCTTTGCGGCGTGGGAATTAAGAAGATGATATCCCATTTATCCTATTAAACCATGCTCCTTAGTCTCCAATATTTGTCAAACAAGCCTTTGCAAAGACAGAATTTTTTTACCCCTCTGTTTAGGCTGTTTGAAGGTCTGATTTAAATATTTTGGTTTGTTGTTGGGAGTTAGCCTCGTAAACCAATGTAAGCAGAGTAAAGGATTTAGTATATAATGGAGATCTTTAATAGACTGCAAGGGATTAATCCTTCTGCCTTTTATTATCTGTACGGTATGCATAAGGTTTTACAAAGAGAGTTGAAACTGATCTAGAATACTTCAGAAAGGTGATAATTTGTGGCGTATAGTTCATCTTTGCCCTTTCTTCTCAGCAGTAGTTGCTGCAAGTGGTGCTCTTCTCATTTGGTAGGAGGCTCTGGGCATCTAAGCTCCTGCATGTCTAGAATTGGAGATTGCTTTTTTTCTTTCGTGAGGGAAATTAGTGTGTTAAAAAGACAAATTGACAGTGCTGCAGATTGAAGCTCTTATCCCCCTCTTCAGTAAAGTTGACAAATGCAACATACTCACCCCTCGTTCCTGCCTGGCAGAGACCATTTCTAGAAGATTAAAGGAGACCTGCTGTGCTGTCTTGGTGCCCTTTCCTTCCTTGGCCTCTCGTTTGAGATGGCCAAAAAGGATACCGATTGTGGCAGTACTTTTGCAGTGTATCCTGGTTCCTCTTCCACAGGGAATAGACCGAAGCCACTAATTCATTTCTGAGATTCCATCAAGCAGCCATTAAAAGCTTACAGTTTTTTTTCCTCCTTACCTACCTCGCCTGGGTTTGAACCTGTCACCTTGAGGTGAAAGGCTGCGTATCTTATTACCATGCCCCAAGCGATCCAGATGCCCTGGATTTCCTCTTTTAAACAAGCTCTGAGAGGAAGTGGCCCCTCATCATATAACTTTTCACCCTTTTTTATTCCCTTTTCTCCTTTAAATCATTATCTATATCTAGCCTCACTCGCCCTAAGTTTAGTGGTGGCTCAGAGCAAAAGCAGCTTAATTGGCTTGCAACATAACGCATGTGTTGAATAAATACTGTCTCACTAAGCTTCATGGCCTCCTGTTTTCATTCATGCCATTTAGAGGAAAACAGCATTATGCCTCTGTATTTATATCATAATAGCCTGCAGATGTCTGTGGGATATCTGTAGGCAGGATTTTACCACCTTATTAGGGACCTCCCAAAAACTTAATCACATTCTATGATGTAAATGTAATGTGAGGGGCAGGTTTCTTCCAGTTGCCTAATGTTAACTGCCCTTGAGTAGCTCTGTTTGTTTTAAAGCATTGTTGCCTCTGATAGGATCACAGGCTCATTTTAAAGGACCTCTTCCGCTGATGTATTGATTTTGAATTTTCTGTTTCAATGAATTTCCTGTGTGACATTTTGGCTAGTATTAATGTTCTTGTAAGGGCTGGTCGAGGAAGTATTGTAGCCTGTAAAAGGCTGTGAAGCACCAGCAGCATCTCTGTAATAAGTCTTTTCCATCGAGCTTTCTGTGATCAGATCCTTTTTTGAACACAGTTCTTCTTTCTTTTGCATCAGACTGTAATACACAGGAGCCTGTGGCTTATCTGGCTGGGCTGGAAGATGAGGTTTTAATATCTTGATTCGCCCCAGATAAAACATTTACCAGTCTAATGATATAAGGAAAGTTCCTGTGTGTTAAGTGATTTTTAAGAAGTCCTCTGGGAAGACAGAAATGAGATAAGGTATCAGCTCTGGTACGAAATACTATATTATAGCTGATGAAAAACAGAATTTCCAATGGATATGGCCATGAATCTCCCCTGTTTTAACCTTGCACATACTGCCAAACTTTGTTAGAGTAAGTGGTTATATTGGATTTGATGTTTCAAATAAATTAACCATTATTTTTTAATGATGCTCTATAAAACCCTCAATTACGTGAGTGCAGATGATGGAAAAGGTTATGTGGAATACAAAATTAGGCCCTATCTTCCTTAAAGAATATAGTTGATATGTTAATTTTGTGTGTATTTGTAATTTATGCATTATTTTAATCAACGCCAACATTTAACTCAATTCAAGACCAGAAAACACTTACTCACATAAGCATTCACGGGACTTACCCATATGAACAAGGTTTTTAGGATGATGGTTTGGAAAGGCAGGGTCTAAAAGTTCTGTGGCAGTTAAAAGGTGTCTCAGCATACATGAGAATCAGGCCCTGAGAAAAGAGCCATGTTGCTTCCTTTTGGTGATTCCATATTTATGCTACCTGTTGCAGAAACTTTCTGGACAAACTATAAACCCAATGCTGCGGATGTTTGGCCAATCCATATCAGGAGGCGTTGATATGGATGGAAATGGTTATCCAGGTATGTTTACTACAACTATAACAATACAAAAAGAAGTAACTAAATATAGCACATGAACTAGTTCCCATATTGCTTACTACAGTTCCTTCAACTCGATAACAGGAAAGCTTTCGTAACGTATAGGTGTCTGTCTCTTCCCTCTCTCAATGAAAGCTGCTGACATGATTAGAGTATCTCGTAGAATCATAGAATACTAAAACTGAAAGGGACCTCAAGAGGTCATCAAATCCAGGTCCCTGCCCACACAGCAGGACCAAGCACCATTTAGATCAGGGTTGGGCAATAAAAAAGGCAGCCCACTGGGTTAGTCCATGGTGCGCCACTGCCAATATATTTATCTGAGCCTCAGTAGGTATTGGAGGATCACAGCTTTGGTTGGCCGTGAATTGCCGTTCGCGGCCATTGTGAGTGGCGGGAAGCATCATGGACCAGGACGCCACTTCCTGTTGCTTGCATTGGCTGCAAACAGCAATTCACAGCCAACCAGAGCTGCGATCCTCCGATACCTGTGGAGACAACGGTAAACATGGAGGTGGGGCCTGCCAGGGACTAACCCTGTGGACTGGATCTGGCCCATGGGCCGGAATTCGCCCACTCCGATCCTGATCATCCCTGATAGATGTCTATTTAACCTTAAATATCTTCAGTGACAGAAATTCCACAACCTCCCTAAGTAATTTATTCCGGTGTTTAACCGCCCTTGACAGGAAGTTTTTCATAATGTCGAACCTAAACCTCTCTTCTGCAGTCATTGCTTCTTGTCCTAATATCAGAGGTCAAAGAAAACAATTTTTCTCCCACTTCCTTATAACATCTTTTTCGGTACTTGAAAACTACTATCATGTTCCCCCTCAGTCTTCTCTTTTCTCAACTAAATAAACCCAATTCTTTCAGTCTTCCTTCATAGGTCATGTTTTCCTGACCTTTAATCATTTTTGTTAATCTTCTCTGGACCTTCTTCTAATTCTCTACTTCTTTCCTGAAACAGACACCTGAAGTTCAGTTGTCTGGGTTTAGAATCTCTGGCAGAGGACTGAGAAACAAAGTTGAGAATTTTAACTTCCTAGGAAGGTTGTTACTTTCTAGAGGGTGATTTCTGTTAATGGAAAACAGTTGAGGTGATCTGATGATGATACAAACAAATAGAACTGGATTGACCTGTGGAAGCCAATTCTCAGTGCCAGTGCAGGCAAAACAAACATAGTGATGCTTTGATTGGCAGAACTAAGTTGGGAATGGAGAAAAATGGTATTTATTAAAACATATTTTATTGCTGAAAAAGGAGATTACATGGATTTGGTTTCTGTGTCCTTCAAAATCCATTGTTACAGTAAAAATTATGAAACTTTGTTTTCAGATATGACCATTGGGGCCTTCATGTCTGACAATGTGATACTTCTAAGGTGAGACCAAATACTTCCTCCTTTATTATGTTTTTTGGGTTCCTGTTTATTGGCTATGTGCTTTCTCAGTCTTCCTTCAATAGTTTTTATTATCTCTTAATTATGATCAGAAGAAACAAGTTAGATTATTTTGTATACTGTATCCAATAGGGGTGGATGGCACCTTACAAAATAAGTAAAATATCTTTTAAACCCCAAAGAATTTATTATCTAATTTAGAGACACAACAAGGGATGTCATATAAGGGGATGAGTGTTTGGGAAGGTTGGGGTATAGAAGTAAAACACTGAGATATGCTTTTGTTACATGCACATACCAGTGATTCCTTTTTGGAAAGATAAGTTGTTTAAAATAGTTACATTAATTTGTGCGGACTTTTGTTTTTAGACATAAAATGGGGCAAGAGGGCAGCAGTGGATGGTGTGTGAATGTAGCTTAGTACAGGCAGTCCCTGGGTTACGTACAAGATAGGGACTATAGGGTTGTTCTTAAGTTGAATTTGTATGTAAGTCGGAACTGGCTCCAGATTCAGCTGCTGGGGAAACTGATCAGCTGCTGACTACAGGAAGCCCTAGGCAGAGTTGCTCTGCCCCCAGCTTCCTGGAATCAGCCGCTGATCAGTTTCAACAGCGACTGAATCTGGACTCCTGGGACAGAACAGCTAGGGCACTGCCGGGTAGGTCCCCGCAGGACCAACCCGGCAGCACCCCAGCTGCTCTACCCCAGGCGTCCTGCAACAAAAGCCTGTTCTGCTGGGGGGGGGGGCGCACTAGCTGCGCCCTCTCCCTCCCCAGCAAACCAGGGAGACCCGAGCAAGGCCGCGGAGGCGCAGAGGTCCCGCCGCCTCTGCGGCTTTGCTCCGGGGCAAAGGAGCAAAGCCACACAGGCAGCGGGGGCCCACCGCCTGTGCAGCTTTGCTCGGGTCTCCCTGCTGTGCTGGGGCGTCCCCACCAGCACACCAGGGAGACCCGAGCAAGGCCGCGGAGGCGCAGAGGTCCCGCCGCCTCTGCGGCTTTGCTCCGGGGCAAAGGAGCAAAGCCACACAGGCAGCGGGGGCCCACCGCCTGTGCAGCTTTGCTCGGGTCTCCCTGCTGTGCTGGGGCGTCCCCACCAGCACACCAGGGAGACCCGAGCAAGGCCGCGGAGGCGCAGAGGTCCCGCCGCCTCTGCGGCTTTGCTCCGGGGCAAAGGAGCAAAGCCACACAGGCAGCGGGGGCCCACCGCCTGTGCAGCTTTGCTCGGGTCTCCCTGCTGTGCTGGGGCGTCCCCACCAGCACACCAGGGAGACCCGGAGCAGCTTTTCTCGCCCCGGAGGACGCGGTGGCGGGACTGCTGCACTCTAGGTGGTCCCGCCGCCCGTGAGCTCCAGGGCGAGAAAAGCCCCGTTCGCAAGTGCGGATCCGACATAAGTCGGATCCGCATAAGTTGGGGACTACCTGTGTTGGAAGATTAGAGTGCAAAAAGTGAATCTTCATGGAGAGCGAGGCTACAATACATGCAGGCTCTGGACAGTTATTTTGTGGCATGCAGTGGCATGAAATTGTTTGTTGATGGTAGAGGCTGCGGAAAGCTACAAGATATGACAGACTGGAACAGTGAAGGGGATGTAGCAGGGCCAGTACTAAGGTTTAGGCGTAGCAGAGCTTTGAAAGCAAAGATGAGTCATTTGAACTTTATGTGGCAGGAGGCTGCAAGTCACTGCTAGGACAAGGAGGGTGCTGACACAGTCAGAGGCAAGTGAAGATGTGGGGGTTTTTTCCCTGCATTTTGTTGGGTAGACTTTGAGGGGCACTAGGTGAATATCAGGCTGACACAAAGGAAGAGGGAAGTGGTTGTAGTTAGAATGAGAGATGGGTAAAGCTCATGTTTGATAACTAGTGGTAGAATCATGTTGTTTGCTGCTAATATAAGTTTCTACCAAATCTCTAAATATGGAACATGACACCTATAACACATCACTGGAAAAGAAATTAAGAGGCAAGAGATTAGATTGCTTATTAGGTTAGATTTGTTCTACTTGGAACTGCTGTGGGAACTCTGTACAGGGTATGTCTACACTACCACCCTAGTTTGAACTAGGGTGGTTAATGTAGGCAACCGGAGTTGCAAATGAAGCCCGGGATTTGAATTTCCTGGGCTTCATTTGCATGTTGCCGGGTGCCGCCATTTTTAAATGTCCGCTAGTTCGGACTCCGTGCCCGCAGCTACATGCGGCATGAACTAGGTAGTTCGGATTAGGCTTCCTATTCCGAACTACCGGTACACCTCGTTCCTCCGGCTTATTTTCCGGAGAATCGCATCTAGACTGGCGCTTTTCTCCGGCTTATCCCCAAGCTGGAAAAAAGCGGAAGCATGTAAATGCAAGTGCCGCGGGGGATATTTAAATCCCCTGCGGATTTGCAATTCCGACTGGTCTAATCTGCATCCCTTTTCTGGAAAAGGGGTGCAATGTAGACACAGCCAGCCCGTATGACCCTGTGCCACTCAACTGAGCTTACATTTCTGTTTCCCCATTTATAGATGGGGTTCATGATACTTACATACAGTACCTCACAGGAATATAGTACAGCTGAATGAATTTTTTGCAAAGTACTTTAACTTCCTCAGATGAAAGGCACCCTTTTAAGAGTGAAGTGTAGTTTTTATTTTTATGCTGATTTATATTTTGGGCGGTTTTTGCCAATAACTACATTCTGAATAAACACTCTAATGTTTACTAACACAACAGTGGCAAGAACTAGATGGAACAATCAATTGAAGCTTTTGTGGAATGGTCATTTTAATATAATAAATATGGGGCTAGGGAAATAATTAAGAATTGTGGAATGACTCTATCTCCCTTTGTATCCTGTTAGATACAGGAAAGACCTACTTTTTGTTCCCATTGAACTCAGCACTAAAGCCCCTGTTGACTTCATGGTGCTGGTGTACCGCATTCTTTGAGAAACATTAACATTGTGTTGTTACTCAGACAAACAGAGGAGGCCAGCACGTTTTCCATCAAATGGTGTGAAACATCAGCAGATGGAGTCTCTGAGTTCTGATCCTTAAAATAGCTTGAAAAGGAAATAAAGGTGCAAACTCTTATGCTGCTTTAGTGGTTGTGTGAAAAGAGAAACTGGCTATAAGAACACGTGGGCCTAGAAGCAGGGGCTGCATTTTTAAGGCAGGTGCCATTTTCTTGTCACCATAACAGGTCTGGGTATGGGCACCTTCAAGAGGAACTGAGAGACTAAGCTCTGCAGGAAGTTCTGCCTTTTGTGGCATATGGAACAGCCCTCTGTGATTCTGTTGATTGGCTGGCCCTCCACATATATATATACCATTTCAGGCAGTTGACTGAACAATGCGGACTTCTAGCATGCCTTTGCATTACATGCCATTTGCTGCTCCTGGCTGCATTTTGTCTTAATCCCAGACTCCTGGCTTTTGGCCTAGGTGGGATCCCAAGCCTGATCTTGGTTTACTGTCTCTGGTTTAAGACCATTGCTGACTTTGGTGAAAGATGCTGGCAAGGCCTATCCCCAATTCTTGCCTCACATTCTCTATTTGGTAACAGACTCTCTATTTGTAGTTTTAATCTGGCTTGGCCCCACATTGATCTCTGACCTTGAATCCTGATCCAGAACAGCTCAGCCCATGCCCATAGGCCACCCACAACCCAGTCCTGATGGTGGAAGGTTCCCCGTGGAATCACCAAGAAAATACACAGCAGTGTAGCAACCTGAATTCAATCACTACATTGATGCCTGTTTATTTCTTTAGAGCTTAGTGTATTATGGACTAATCATGTGTCTAGGCTAATTAATTGCAGCTACTGCCAGTCAGGGAGTATGTTGTGCTTACTGTTCGGATTCAGATTAGGGTAAAGGAAAAGGCTTTCTCTCTCCCTCTCCCCACACCCAGTTGTTCTAGTAAAGACTTTTGTCCAAAAACAATATATGTCTTGCCAAATGAAATTAAAAAGCTTTTGAGGAAGCCACTTTGATTTGGGGCTGATGATGGTGCCTGTGTGTGTGCATTGCAACTTGATATATACCCATTAACTAGGCTAATTTTAAGGACATCATGCCATGCACAGCTTGCAAAATAGGGCATTTAGGTAAAATATACAAGTTACTCCCTGGAGGATTCTGCATAACCGCATGCCTGTAGAAAACACCCCTTCTCCTGCAGAATTCCTATGTTTCCCTGCAGAAAACAGGGGAATGTGGGGGGTGGGTGGGAGGGGAAGAGGCTGTGGAGATGGGAGTGGGAGATGGCCGGGAATGTGGGAATGAGGGGGATGGAGAAAAATAGGTGAATCATGGAGTGGGAGCCCAGCATTAGAAGCCGTTTCAGCAGCAGCGGGGGCTCCCCCTGTTAAGCAGGCCCATTGAGAACCCCCACCCTGACAAGCCCTACCCCTTATACCTGGATCCCTCTGAGTCCCCCACATCCAGACAGCACCCTGCTGATCCCCAAGCAGCTGCATCTAGACCTCTATCCCATCAAGCCCCATTCTCCCAGCATCCAGACCTTCCCTCTGAGCTCCCCCCACCCTGACACTCCCACTGAGCCCCCATCTCTCCACACCCAGACACCCCCTTGCTGAACCTAACCACTTTCACCTGGATGCCCCGCATGAGCCCCACTGCCTCTGCACCCGGAACCCCCAGGGAACTCCTATGAATCTCTATCTCTCACTGAGACAGACCCCTTTCACCCCACACCCCACTCCCTCCACACTTGGATCCTGCTGGGCTGGGCCTGCCCACCAACACTAGGTAGCGGTGTTTGTGGGGGAGGGGTGTTTGTGGGGCAGGCCCAGCCCTTGCCGATTCAGGTGCAACCTAATTGCCGAGTCCTGGTACCGAGGAAGGTGGAAGCTTCAGGGTAATCTCCCACCTCAGTGCAGTTTATGACGGGTATTCCCCACTGCCATACTGGAGACACATTTATTGACAAATACGATTTTCAGTATTTTAAAATACAGTGTGCATCATTTTAAATTGTTTTTGGCTCAAAATCCCCACAGGAGTAACATGTTAATCTACTTTACCCCTTCCCAAGCATCTGAGTGCAGGCACTTCCATGATGTGAAATGATCCCGGAAGTTTGCTCTTTTCTCCTTTTTCTCTTTACTTTCTTCTTCTTCTATCATCTTCTTCTTCTGTCATCTTTTCCATTGTTCATTTCAGATACTATGTGGAGAGATGGAGTTACCATCAAAGACTGGGGTTGATCTTGATCTAATTGATAAGTTCCTATAACCTCTACCACATACCACAGCCCCCAAATGTAAATGGCTTATAGAGGGAGACTTAATGCAGTCAGCTCTATGCACTGCACTCTTGAGCCCACCTCAGAACTGAATCTGCTGTTCACTGCACATTTTTGGAGTGTGTGGGAGGTTTATTATTTGAGCTATCTTTGGAATAATGTATTTATACTTAAGATCTGCAGAACTGAAAACTCTTAAGAATAACAGTTTGTGCGTGCTTGGGCTAAGATCCTGCATTGAGATTGGTTCTCATGGCAGAAATGGGTCCTTGATTTCTTAACCATTTGCTCCAAGCCATCTGCACTTACTGTGTCATGTGGCACAGACCAACCAATACCTCGCCCTAACGGTGCTGTGATTGTGATGTGACTCTGGCTGTCCTCTTCTTTCACCTGAAATAACTGTAGGAACAGCCCAGGTCATAAGCTGCAGAAGTGGAAAGCTGTCATTTGTAACACACAGGAGGACCTGTCAGGATTTAATTTGATGAAGTCAAAGGAGTACTGTAAATTGTCAGTGCATGATATGGGGGAATTAGCTGAATATTTCCATGTCTAAAATGATGTGAGCATAATACGCCTAATGGATCTGGCACCACTATGAAAAATTACCTTGCCTTTGTTTTTCCTAGTTTAGCTTAATGGCTACTGCTGCAAAAGCATTATACGGAGCATTAGTCGTCTCTTACCCGTTCCTCATCACCCTAGGCCTTTTTTCTCTGAGGTCATTGTCTGCCATCTCTAATGCACTAATCTCATTACCCTCCCCACGCATCATGAAGTCTCTATACACCTTTGACTAGAGATTATTTATTATTGGTCACATCTGGTCCTTCATGATATGCTCCAATATTAAGAGTACAGGTTATTAATATAAATCTGATATTGTTGTCTTCCATCTGCCATGGATATAGTAGGAAATGGGTTTCCTTCACTGGCTGAATGAAGTGCTAGAAGAGTGCCAAATCTGTTCTAAGTTTCACAATGTTGTTTCTTAACATCTATTTGATACTAAGTATTCACCAATTCTGCTTTGTTTTCAGCTGGTTGAGAAAGAACCCTCTGAAGTCAAACTAAATTGTGCTTCTTCATTGATCTCCAGGTCTAGACCTGTCATTACAATGGATATCTCCATTTTCCTGCCTGTTTCCATCAATATCACAGCTCCCCAGTGCCACGATGGCTTGCAGCAGGTGAACTGCCTCAATGTCACAGTTTGCTTTCGTTTCAATGGCAAACATGTTCCAGGAGAAATAGGTAATGTGCATCCATAATCCGGTTCTCGTGTCCATATTGAACGCTCGAGTGGCTGGGTTTTAGTGATATGTGAGGTGTGTTTACAGCAGGGATAGGCAGTAAGTGGCTCACAGGAATGGAGAGCCACGGCCAACGGGAGCTGCGAATGGCCATACCTGTGGATGTGCAGGTAAATAAAGTGTCTAGCAGCTCACCAGGGGGCTAAGCCTGGCTAACTGCATCCAGCTCCTGGGTCGCTTATTTCCTGCCCCTGGATTCCTCAGTTTAATTGCTGACACCACATGCTGTTTTGGGCAAATGATTTACTGTGCCTCAGCTTATCCATCCATGCAATGGGTATAAAACATATTTTTAAGTATCTTTAATATTTATAAAGATCTTTGAGGATCTTGGATTAAAGGAACTCTGTAAGTTCAAAGAAGTATTATGACCATGTTGAAATATTACATTATCTATTATGTTATAGGCACATGTAATGCTTACATAAGTATATGTATTTGCCTTTATGTATACTTGTTCATATATATATGAATTGTGTATTCATGCATGACGTGAATATTTGTTTGTGCAGGTCTGTCATACACATAAAACAATGGTCTGGTATAAAGTTTGGAGTCAATCATTCCATTTTGGCACAGTGCAGCACCAGAAGTAAAGTAGAGCTGCGCTTTTATAGGGGTGTAGCATATTTCCCTCCATGCCTGGCCAACAAGGAGAGTGGCATGCCATTGGTTCCACCTTTTTCCTGCCCCCTTGGCATGCCAAGGGTTTAATTAGGGGTAGTGTCTATGCTACCCTGACTAGAGAATGAAATTCTTCTTGAACCTTATGTGGGCCATACAATAGGCAGACATACTCTTTATTCCCTCCTCTTTACTTAGCTGTACCTAAGTAACAGCTTCTAGCCTTTAAGACTAGTCAGGATCTATCCCATTATTGCCTGAGTCTGGGATAGTGAAACTCCTCAAAGACAACAAAATTGCTCAAAGTTGAATCCCTTTGGGGTTCTTAGACATGTACACATTCTCAGACAGGATATCTGTGGCTGTCCCTTTGCCTTGCTTAGGAGTTCTTGCAAAATCCCACAGATGAACATGCAGTTCAGCAAAGCACTTCTTTCCAGAGGAGAGCTATTTATCACTGGTTCATCCAAAAATGTTAATTTCCATCTCTGTTTTAAGGTAAACATTTTTAAAGGGCCTAAGTCTCATTTTCAAAAGTGACTGTAAGCACTGGGTATCTTACATTTCATTGGCTTCTAGGCTTTCTTAGCCTTCTAAGTGCCAAAGATCACTTTTGAAAACGGCAACTTCGGCCTTTTTGAAAAAATTTACCCTTACTCTGATTTCATATAGCTGTAGTGGGTGTTAAGGAACAATCTTTCCTTCCTTATTCAAGCGCATTCTCATGTTTCTGGAGAGAACTGATCTTCTTGAAGCACACTACAGATGAGAGCCAGTTTAATTACATTGAATTATGATACAAACCATACTCTTTTGTAACTTACTGCCGTTAAAAGAACATTTGAATGTTTTTTGGCAAATGTTACTTACCCCCTAGTAAAGAATTCTTTGTTAAGTAGATAATTATATAACTCTCAAACATTATATTTTCATACAATGCATCTAATCAAAGCAATTTGTTAGAAAAACATAGCCAGCATTATCTAACTCTGTAAAAATTTATTGGGATATAATTTGGACACTGTGCCTCAAATAAGTGTTTAATCTGAATTACACAAAATAATGCATTTTACTTCTAACAGGTTGCCTAGTAACAATGCTATAAAAAAATTTGGGGGGGGGGGGGGCTGGGGTAGTGTGACACCTCTCACATAACTGGTTAACTCTTTGGGAATGGGATAATTAATGCCAACAACTGCTTCAGCTATATATATATTTAGATTCAAATGTCTTTCAACCCCAATTATGCATTAGAACATATTTAGGGGAGATTAGTTAATACGTACAGTACCTAACACAGTCGAGCCCTGATCTGTAACTAATATTTCTAAGGTAGTGTGACACCTCTCACATAACTGGTTAACTCTTTGGGAATGGGATAATTAATGCCAACAACTGCTTCAGCTATATATATATTTAGATTCAAATGTCTTTCAACCCCAATTATGCATTAGAACATATTTAGGGGAGATTAGTTAATACGTACAGTACCTAACACAGTCGAGCCCTGATCTGTAACTAATATTTCTAAGCACTATGTTTATACAGATAGGAAATAATTATCACATGTATCAGAGTCTCTTGGCCAATGTTTTCAAAATGGGCAAATGATGATGGGGTGTCTTATTTTTACATGTTGTCAGGATCAATTTTACATGCTGTCAAGATCCATTGGTACCCTAGATGTTACATTAAAGCCGAATGCCTGTAGCCAATCCTGTGATAAACTACCTAAAGGGTTTATCAGCTAGGAAAAAAGTAAGTTATTTACAGGTAAAAGCAAACAAATATAGACACATGCAAATGAGTTACCATCTCTGATTCCTACAGGTGACAGAGCTATGGTAATCTGTCAATTCAAAAATAGCTTTCAGGGCAGACCCAGGGGAGTAACACCTGGGGATCTCTGAGTTCATTCAATGTTCCTGGCTCTGTCAATTCAAACAGCGAAGAAAGGAAAAAATCTTCATGGCAACAATTTTTATTTCCCCCTTCTAGCATTCAAATCAATGGGGCAAGGCCTGCATGTACTTCTCCATGGATGGATAGAACAAAGGATGTGAATGGGTAAAATGTGATGCTGACGGTAACTGGTTAACCCGTGCCTGGGAAAAGCCCCCTGCCTGTGGCCCGCCATGGTTGGACAGCTGTTCCAGCCCCGCCAGGTCCCTCCACAGGGGCGGCAGCCCCAGGAGTGGCAGCTCCCTTGCCAGCAGCCATGTGGGACATGGGATGGGGGCAGCTCCAGCTGGGCTGGAACAGCTTCCTGCTTGCAGCTCCCATTTAATCGGTTAATCCATTAAACGTAATGTTTAACTGGTTAACTGATCAAATGGGATTTTACATCCCTAGATGGGACAATTAACAAAGTTTTTTTTCTTATAGCCTGCTTACTTAGTGGTAGTTCTCCAGAGTAGGTGGGAGTGATTTCCGGTGCTTGGTTTCATGAATTCAGAACAAATATTTTCAAAGTTTAAACGTCTCAGAGTGGTAGCTGTGTTAGTCTGTTACTGAAATAAATTAAAAAACAATGAATGGTCCTACAGCACCTTAGAGACCAAAAAAAAAAAAAAAAATGTAGATGGTATCATGAGCTTTTGTGGGCACAATCCACTTATTCAGTTGAACTCCATTCATCTGAAGAAGTGGGTTGTACCCACAAAAGCTCATGATACCATTTTCAAACTTATAAAGCAAAGCTTGCATATTTCTGTTTAGCATGGAATACAAATGTTACAAGTGAGATGAATACCTGCAATAGTTTACAAGCATTTCATAGTGTAAATACTAAATGCATGCTTGTAAGACTAAAACCTATTTTGAATAAAGCTAACAATATATGAGGTAGTTTGATTTCCAGCTATGAGTTTGTCAGATTTTAGTTAATGCTCATGTCTTTACCAGCATCACATCTGCATGTAAGTTTTACAAGTTTGTACTGAACATACTGGCACTATCCTGTTCTTTCTATTATAAACCCCTATCTGAAATGTTTATTTTTATGTATTACTATTTAATTCAGTGACCCATTAAGAAAATCTATCTTCAGCTTAATTGGGTTGCTCCAACAAATTCTAAATAGGGGCCTTTTTCTCCCAATTTTTTTCCAGTACTAGCTGCAGTACTGCTAGTACTTTCACAGATACTTGCAGATCAGTGTTTATTTCCACAATGTACACTGTCATTCGCAAAGTACTAATCTCATCCATTTTATGAGCACTTTGTGCAAACTGAAATATTCAGCATCTTTTTTTTCAGATGAAATAGTTAGGCCTGAGTTAGAGGCACAGGACAGTGAAATGTGTTGCTTTGCACTGTGTGCCAATCATTGTCCGACCTTCATCTTTGCTGCAGCTGGGCTAGAAGGCAGGGTGGCTGCTTGTATTTCATATCCAGACAGAGCAATATCTCACAGGGTGTTGGATGTGTCTGAAATTTTTTTTTTTTTAGTTATTTATTTCCATCAATCCCAGTATTTGCCCTGGGCTGTTGCTTGCTTTCCTGGTTGTGACCAGAAAGCTGATTCAGGCATGGCTTTGGAGTTCAATCTTCCCAGGGCATTCTAGGGCCTCCATTTTTGCCGTGTAGTTCTGAGTGATCACTCATTTGATAATACAGGTTGAACCTCTCTTGTCTGGCACTTTCTGGTCTAGCAACATCCATGATCCAGCATGATTTTAGTTAGCTAAATGTCCACTTATCATGGATGTAGCCAAGTTTCCCATGGTCCCATAAAGTTTGTTTTCAGACGCCAGGACTGGCTCTTGGTGTTCTGTGCTGTTTTTTAGCCCTAATTTACCCCCAAAAAATCTTCTAAAGGCCCAGTAAGCAGTGGAAGTGTGGGTAATGCTGCTAGACAATATTGACTTTCCATGGTTTGGCAAATTCTCTGGCCTGGCACCAGTCAGGTCCCAATAGTGCCAGACTAGAGAGGTTCAGTGTGTCACTAACTTTGCTGTGCATATTCCCTAGATGACAGTGAAAGGGAACAGTTTTCTTTGGGAACCATACATTTCCATGACTTGCAAAAAGAGGGAGGAGCGTAAAGAATTGACAGATAATACTGGATTTCCCTTCTTGTGCTTTGTCTTGTCTAGCCTAGAAAAAAAGTTTGAGTTTAGTGTAGACTTCCCTAGTCAAGACCTAACAACCTACCTCTATGTGATAATATTGCCCGGGGTGTGAAAAATGCACATTCTGGAGTGAGGTTGTTCTGCCATCCTGATTCCTGGTGTAGAAAGTGCTGTGTTAATGAGAGGTGCATAACTATGTTGTAGTGTTTTAAGTGAAGACAAGTCCCTAGTATAAGCTATACGACTATATATACCTAGTATAAGCTAGTTAAGCCTGACCCTTGAAACTATGTTTTTTAGTGTGACAGGGTAACTGCTACAGCTTGATGTTACCACGTTGAGTTGCAGCTTAGGCTGTAATACCATTCCTGGTCAGGGTGTGGCCTTTACCAGTGCATTGCACCCATGTGAGAACCCAGTATCTTGTCAGCATGCTTCCAAACCATACCCCTCTCCTCGCTGAAGGCCCAGAACAGGAAAATGGAGTCTGCTTGGCTGTCCCATATTTCAGGACACTGTGTGACTTGCCTAGTCACTGGCAAATGAAAGGATATTTGCTATGCTCAGAGACAGGATAATTTCTTTATACAGAGGGAAAAACCCAAGCTACAATTTAATTAAGAAAAATGCTTTTGTGTGAATTGGGTGATTTTCAGTGTTTATAAAAATGGTAGATGATTGGACTGACTCAAATTTGTCATTGTGTTTGTAGATACTGTGGAACCTTCTCTGCACAGCTCAGTCAATGTACTTGACTTCTGCTCTGCCTCACCCCATTCTTGTCCACTGTTAGGGTGCATCTACGCAGCAGGGCTTAATTTGAAATAAGCTACTCAAACTGAGCTACTTCAGTTGCGTTGCTTATTTCGAAATAGGGAGCATCTACACAGCACTTATTTTGAAATAGAGCTTTCTTCCTCTGACTTGGGACTCCAAGTAAGAAGTCCTCCAGCTTGACAGAATTTTGACATTATTTCAAAATAATTGCCTGCTGTGTAGACGTGGTCTAGGTTATTTAGAAATAACACTAGTTATTTTGAAATAATGTTGCTGTGTAGATGTACCCTTAGAGAATTCCTAAAGTAGATGCAGAGTGGTGTCATGGGTGGAGCTCCACTTTGTTTGAACTAGTAATTGGTGAGCTTCAGGTGGTTCAGTTTCTCTCCTGTATGGATTGGCCACCAGGGTTTAAGACACTCATCCAAACTATCCAGAACTTGGGGTCTACAAAATTGGGTTTATCTTTCCCATCTGCAGCCTGCTTCAATTTAGGCCATATGAATAGACTTTTTCTTACTGTTGCTTCTATTTCAGGTGCTAGTCTGAGTCAGTACCACTAGCATGTTAGTGAATGCTGTTTAGGCTGTGATTCTGTAAGGAAGGTAAAGCAGGGCCCCAAATGGAAAGCTGTCTAGTCACTGTGCATGATGTTGGCTCTGATAGAGGGGTTTCAGATGAAGAAGTCTGAAGTAAGGAGAAAAGAATGCTGCTTTTAGGAAAAAGAGTATCCTATGCATTGTCATCTGCTGGTGTGTAGGTAGGATATATGTTGTATACAGCAATGAAACTAGGATGCCTTTGTTTTTTGAGTGCTACACCTGTGGATATTTAAGAATTTTCTCTGTGTGCAAAGTTCATGAGCCATTTTGTTCTGAGTTGCTGAGGCTTTTTCAGAGGGACTCATACACATGCGTCCTGGGGACTTGACTTAAGTTGTTTCTTGTTGGTGTTACCCTTAATCTAAACCAAGTGATGTTATATTGAAGGTACATGTTTTGCATCTTGTATAGCAAAACACAATATGATGGAACAAGGTTATCTAATGCAGTTCTACTAAATGTGCCTCAGTTGGCACATGGCCTGGATTCATCACTGAATTTGGTTGTCTAGTTGTTCTTTGGCTTGGTATTGACATAGAGTGTGATGTGAATGCTGATCCATGCCTCCCACCTACCCCAGTATGTCACTGGATATGTGACACTTGAGAATTAAAATCATGCTGTGGGTCTGCTACAACTTATTCAAGCAAGTATCTTACTATGGCATTGATTGGGACAGCTAATCTGCTGCAATAGTGAATGGTCTGGTTTGCAAATGAATGAAATATGCTTCTGAATTCCGTTTTATCAAACCTTTATAGAGAGTTGGTTTGAGTTCTGAGCAGAGGTTCGGTTATTTCAAAATTTATTCTAAATTGAGAGCATGGATGCCAAATTTTAATTCACTTTTGAAGTTGAAAACCAAATCCCATAAACATTTAACAGCATGCATATGTTTGAATACCCCTGGCAGACTCTGAAAGGTTACTAGTGAGAGTTAATTTAGTAGCAAAGGCTCACTACCCAATACTCAGAGAGTGAATGAGAATAAATTAAACCACTGAGGGTGCTTTATGAACTAGCAAATTCCTTTCCCACCCTGGTCACCTTTGCTTTAAAAAAAAAAGGGGGGGGGGGAATCTTGGTATTTCAGCTTTTCCAATGATGTGACATCATTGGATATAGCAAAGCAACAAGTTGCCAAAAGAAAAGGGAAAAGATGTGAAATGCACTATTTGAAATGTATTAATCAAAAACATTCCCGGTTGCTATAGAAGGATGGTAGCTGGAATGGTTTTGTTTAGAGGCTCTGTTCAGTGTTCTTATTAGTATTTGGGTTGCTTATTATACTATTTATCTAGATAGGAGTTTCTTAATAATAATGTTGCATTTTTATTTGAGAATCTTAAAAAGTTTAGGAAACTCTCATGAGTGGAACCTCCCAACACCTTAGTGAATTAGGTAGCCATTCTTATCCAACTTTACATCATTGGGGGTCTAGGGAGCTCAACCTGGTCCCTGAAGCTGGGTGCAAGTGTCTGCAGTGCCTAGTTTCCAGCCTGCACAACTCTTGGTTTGCCCACCAGTTCTCTTGTCCTTCCCAGCAAGAGTTGTTCCTGCAGTTGATATCATAGATGTCATCTCAGCAAATGTAGGAGAGCAGAGTCTCAAAAAAGCAGAAAAAAGAGGAGACAGGGTGGAGAGTTGAGGGGCTGTACAGTCTAAAATCAAAACAGGAGTGTTGCCTTTAAAAATAGGCCAAGATCTGTGTCCTGCTTGACCTTAGTATGGGTGTTATTCTGAGCTGTGTTGGGCACACATAATTCCTATCAACTTCAGTGGGAACTGCACTGCTCAGCACCTTGCAGGATCGACTCCTTTTACGGCAAGGACTTGTTTACGTGAAAGTCATGTCAGTTTTAACTTTAGAACTGCCTTAAAAGTGATTTTGAAGTGGTACAAAACTTCAAAAGGGGTGGATACTCTTATTTTAGTGTAAATTAGGCTTATTTGTTTTAGTTTGTTGATTGAAAATTAATTGAAGACAAATGGATGCAAGCCTGATTTAAATTGAAATAAAAATGTCCACAGAGCCTTTTGCACCAGTTTGAAAAATGATTCAAGTTAAACTGATCCAACTACTGTGTACAGATAGGGCCCAAATGAAGTCAGTGACAACAGTTATGCTTTAAAGAACTCAGAATTTTCTTCTGTTAAAAAATAAAAACAACTCGAAAACTTCACATAATTTCTCAATCCAAGAAAAATGAGTGTATCAATTAATTTTCAAGTATTTTAAAAAGATTACCATCATTTAAACACAGCAGTAACACTTAGCTGGTTTAAATAATATTTAATTTAAAAAGACAAAACAGATGTGTACACAGTTGAGGAAACCATTAACATTCTGCTCAGGAAAGTCATTGTTTACCTTAATTATGTAATAATGCACAGAAACAGACATGGGCTGACTCACATACCTCACATGCACACTAATCAACTGTAGTACTGCTGGTCATCTACTGATGTTCCCTTAATTGTATTTACATTCATCTGAGATCACTAATGACCGCATCATGCAATAGGATCCGCTAACATTAGTGCTTCTGTGCCTGTGCAGGGTCCCAATGACTTTATTGGTAGAGGCATCCACTAAAGAATACAGCTGACTTTATTGCAGGTTCAGGGCCTCAGACAGCAAGTATAATGCATTTAGATTATTCAACCTGCAAACAGATTGTTTAGTAGACAGATAAGATGCCTTCTTTTGTGCACCATACTGTCTTGTATTTTTATATGAAACTTTACTAAATTATTTACCAGGTAGAATAGCATGAAATAGGACCCCCTAGTGATAGTTTATTGGTCTGTGGAGAACACATTCTGTAGCTTTCAGGGTAATAATATTCATAAAAGGGGGAAATTTAAGTGCAAACAACTTCCTCTAGTTAAATTGTAAATGCTAATCAGACTATAATTCAACCAGGAAATGCCAAGTTCGTGTTGACATTTAGGCCTTAGTTTATGGTGATGTGGAGGGAAATTAAAGCAGGTCTTTTTTTCAGTAGGACGAGTAAAATAACTCTAGAAATTGTTGAATTACTTTTTTACTAATGCTTTCTTACATTTCTGGTAAACCGTCTCCTCATCCACCGTACCGATCACCCTCTAAGTAAACATGCCAGAGGATACAACTCAATGAATTGACTATGGCTGCTAGAAAATAACCACCGTTGGCTGACAGTTGTGAAATTTTGTTTTCTTTCTTCGGCAGGTTTGAATTATATCTTGACTGCAGATGTGGCAAAGAAAGAAAAAGGCCAACAGCCCAGGGTTTACTTTGTGTCTTCTGGGGAAACAATGGGACAGGTTGTGGAGCAGTTACAGCTGTCATACATGAAGGAAAAGTGTGAGCCCTACCTAGCCTACGTGAAGGTCAGTCCATTTTCTTTCTTTCCTGGCGTTCACCTTTTTGCAATTCATCTGTTGCTTTAAGTATATATTATATCATCCATCAAAGCAGCTATGTTCGGTTTGGTTTGGGATGCTCTTGCTGTTTATTTCCTGTGGTTGAACTTCTCTGAATCAATGAAAGGGCCCTTTTAGGTGGCAGTTGGTCAGTTCTGGGGCACATTCTTCACGCAGTGCACACTCAACCTGTGGAACTCCTTGCCAGAGGACATTGTGAAGAGTAGGACTTTAATAGTGTTCAAAAAAGAGGTAGATAAATTCATGGAGATTAGGTCCATCAATGGCTATTAGCCAAGGTGCGGGTAGGAATGATGTCCTTAGCCTCTGTTTGTCTGGAAATGGATGACAGGAGAGGGATCACGTGATGATTACCTGTTTTGTCCACTGCCTCTGGGGCATCTGACATTGGTCACTGTCGGCAGACAGGATACTGGGCTAGATGAACCTTTGGTCTGACCCAGTATGGCTGTTCTTATGTTCATGAATTCATTTTGGATTGGGATTTGAGGAGGGTCCATTGAAACTTTTATCTATGTCTTAGAATGATTATTTCCTTTACTCAAGATTGGGGATGAATGTCTCCAGCTATGTTTCTGGAGGGATAATGTTCCTTTGAGAGAGTACTTTAGCAATGAGTTGGTAGGATATGATAATGATCTTTGGTCTACAGCTCTCAGGCTGTGTCTAAACTACACCTCTCTGTCGGCAGAGGGATGTAAATTAGACATATTGAAAGTACAAATGAAGTGGGGATTTAAATATCCCGCGCTTCATTTGCATAATGGCAGCCGCTGCTTTTTAAATTTTTTTGAGGAATATAGGCTCTTTCAAAATGGGTCATTTCTGTCAAAAATGCCCCGTTTAAACTGCTGGTTTTTTTTGAAAAGCCCCTTTTCGAAAAAAAGCGGTCCCTGCCATTATGCAAATGAAGCGCGGGATATTTAAATCCCCACTTCATTTGTACTTTCAATATGTCTAATTTACATCCCTCTGCCAACAGAGGGGTGCAGTTTAGACGTAGCCTCACTGAAGAAATGTCCTCGATATGTCCTCTTATTTGAGAAGTAAATAAAAAAGGCAGTAGAGAATCAGAACTTTGTTTATAGAAGTCTAGAAGGTGGTTAGAAGTAATTGATGTAGAAAGGAATTATTCTTTTAAATTGTTTACGTGCCTTTTGTGTTTAACACATAAAGGACCATGATACAAAACTGTGGAGCAATATGTTGAGATGGTATGTCTGGTCTGGTGATGCATATGCTTCAGCTTAGCAATTATGGCCTCCTGTTTCAAGGATGCCGCTCCATAAATTAGGCTGACCGAAATTCACTTTGCAGTACATGGCAGATACTGGGACAGTCCCTGTTTTTGCATTTCCACTGATAAGCCAGTTTGTAGTCAATAATTCTCATAAGAAGGAGCTCTTTCAGGAAGCTTCTTTGTACCTAGTGACCCTGGGCCTGGGGGTGAAGTTCATCTTTGACATTATTAGCATTTTTGTGCAAGGCTGTTGACATAATTGAAAACGACCACTATGTGTTAAGAAAGCAGCCGTGTGTTAAGTTGCTCATGTCTCTGGAGGTAGGCTAGATATTCCAAGGTTTTCTTCTTATGGGGTGGCTTCCTGTGTCTGCTGCGTAAAAACTCATTACAGAAAATGTAAGAAAATTAGTTTACTAACAACGAAAAGACCTGGATGCATGTTTAATAATTCTGATCTATCTCAAAGAAGCACATCCAATCAAGCTTTATTATATAATATTTCAGGATTCTGGTGGTTAAAAGAGTTCAAGGAGGATGTTCCTTTATTGCTTAGGTCTTGCATTAAGAAATACTTTTCTTTCATACTAGCCCTGTTGTGGTTTTTGGGTGTTGGATAGAATTCACTAGGGGGAAGCACACGTCTGGAAAGCTATTTTATTTGTTATAATTGTTGCTAGCTAAGGCTTGGGGTAGAAAATGTTTTCAAAGGGAAACTATTTGTCTGAAAAAACACTTGGGGAATTGTAATTGCTTATGTAAAGGAAATATATAAACACATTTAAATTTACCAGCAGCTGTTTATCAGTAAAGTAAGACAGCTGTTTAACAATTAGGATTTAGTTGTTTATATGACATAGGCAAGGCCAGGGTTTTTTTCCTGTTGAGGAAACTGCAGGAAAGGTCATTAGTTTGTGTAAGGAAGGATGCAGAATAGTAGGGAATGGTGATCCTTGGTAGTTTGGGCCCTCATGGGAAGAGGTGATGTGATCCATAGAGCCATTTGACAATGGGAACATCAAAGACCCATGCATTCTCTGGAGGAGTGGAAATGGAGGTCGTGATCCTTTACTATTCTGAGTCCAGGAGTCAGAAGCTAGTACAAATTAAAGTTCCGTGATTGCATAGTTTTCTGAGGGAGCTGATGATGGGGTCTGAGTTTTAAGGTTTGCATTGGAATGATTAATCGATTTATGTTTGCCATTAGTTTTCTTTTCCCTGGCCTTCATACAAGTGAGGTATGAGATGACCTACTTTTTGCACCATGGTGTTTGAGACTGTCCTTAACCCATTCATTTTATTACTGTATTACACCTTTTAATCTTCTGTGACAAAAAAAGTAACGTTATTTCTATATTGTAACTGCAGTGTTGGAGTATGTGTGGTCATGATGTAGAGATAAGTGCTTAGGAAGACCTAGGGAATTGAGGTATTAACACCGGAGATGGGTCACCTAATCCTGGTGATCCAATAGAACTGCAGGTGAGAGGATTATTCTAGGAGGGGTGGGTGAGATTTTGTGGCCTGCACTGGGCAGAGGGTCAAGACTAGATGATCATAATGGTCCCTTCTGACCTTAAAGTCTATGAGGTTATGTTCTTCAAATAACAGTATGTTTCTAACTTGTCCAGTTGACATTTCTCTGATTCATTGTATAGTTGATAAGCCCTGGCCTTTGGAGACAGCCACTCCACTAAAACCGACTGCAGGGCTGCTGGCCTGTGTCCTCAGGAAGCACTAGTGCCACTTAGCATCTGTTCAGCCTCTTCCTTGAGTTCATTTTTCAAACACAAAATTCACAAATAATACCAAAACAAAACTGTTCCCTGGAACAAAACAGGTTGCAAGGTTCCAGAGTCCTGCCAACCTGCCCCCTGGCTGAGAACAGCTCCAACCCCGGGTGGAGAGTCCCCTCCCCTGCCCTGCTCTCGCTAGGACCCAGGAAGTGCTGGGGACAGGAGCTGGGGACAGGAGCTGCAGCTAGGAGTCCCGCTGTCCCAGCCGGCGCAGGGGGAGCGATCACAGGCTCCAGCCCGGCCACTGCTGGAAGCAACTCGCCGCCGCTGCTCGTGGAGACTCTGGGGCCAGGCTCCAGGCTAGATCCCTGAGCCCCGGCGGGGGCTGCTGTGGGGCCCCGGAGCCCAGGCTGCAACCGGGAGGTGGAATCTCCGGTAGGGCCAGTCCTGCTGCTCCCCAGAAGCGTCTCCCAGGGTGGGGCCCCCAGCCTGGCCAGGCCCTATCCAGCCCAGCCCCAGGAAGGGCACCGCTTGGGGGGCAGGTAAGAGTGACCCCCTGGGAGCGGCGCCCTGGTGCCCCAGGGCTGCAGGGGGAGGGTTTGGTCCCGGGCTGCTCCCAGGCCTCCCAGCCTGCAGGGATTTTAGCTGCCTTGGTTGAGTGGGAGATTAGTAATTCCTGCCCCTCTAGGTTGCCAGGCTGCCTCCATATTGAGACAGACAGCCCTGGATTTTCGCCTCCTGGCCGGGAGAAAAATCAGAAGATACTGGACATTTTAGGTGTCTGGTATTTTCTGAACTTTTTTACCAGACAGGAGGTGAAAATACCGGACTGTCAGGTTCAGTACCAGACACCTGGCAACCCTATTCCACAGCTGTGCTCTTCAGCTGAGCTTTCATCCTTTACAGCAGTGAGGGGTAGCCTACGCTAGGCAGTGCGATGCATGAATGGTCTTCCTTCATCTCAGTGGGCCCGCAGATTGTCATAACCAAGATGGTCTCCTAGGCTAGAATAGCTTTGCTAACAATGCTTGCGTACCTAGAATTTGTAGGGTGTGCCGATTGAAGCATAGTAGCGCTCTGATTAGATGCAGAGGGAGCGCACGGCTCTCACAGTCAGTGTTGTGTGTAATCAGCATGCATCTCGTTTCACGTGCCCTTGCTTTAACTGCATGTTACTTCAGTAATACCGGTGTGGGGTAGGGGTGGACCTATGCAGATGGAAGGAAACCAGTGGAATCTGGCGACTCTGTGTGTAATTAACAGTAAACAAAATGTCTTGCTGGCCACATATACAACCCTGGTATGCTGGTTGGGCACTAGCTACAGGGTGCCTACCACTGCCTTACAGGAATCACCTGACCCTTCTCAGCTGAGTGTGATAACCCCTTCTTCCAGGCCCAAACAGCTGTTCTGAAGAGGCTTTGACTCCAAACAGGATTGGCTGGCCTCAGGGCTCTTGAGGCAGATTACTTCATTAAACCTTTGCTGCAAAAGAGCATTTACTAGTATAATTCCTCCATTATTCTGAGCAAGTGCTACTCCTCTTATTCCTCTTATTAACTGTGAAGCTGTATACAATTCTCAGTCTTGCTTAGTAACTGAGTTACTGGTGATGAGTGACTCTCAAAATATTTGGAGTTTGTGTTTGGTCCGGACAAGGCTTTGAAAGTGTCTGGTCTCAGATAAATATTAGTCACACTCGTGGCTACATAATTATGTTACAAATCTCATGTGATTCCTGTAAGAATTCAGTTTTCAGACCATGATGGAAAGTGGAGTGAAATTATTTCAGAGCCACAGAATGATGTGCGTGTGGTTTAAAAATGGGGGGGAGGGCTGGGAGAGGAGAGACACTGCTCCCATTTGTGGTTAGGAGACTCTTAAGTATTTGGAATCAGAGGGACCTGCAGGTGATATGCTGTTCTTCATGTTACATAAACTGTTATCTACTGCAAAACCTCAAGTTCTTT